CTTCAAACGTATTTTTCCCGATCAAACTCGACGTGATTCGGGGTGTCTCTACTAAAATTGGTTCAAAATTTTCCAGATAATTTGAATTTAATCTTCAGAAAATTAGCAACTTCTGATGGGTTTACGGCGTTTATTCTTAGCACAGTAAAACAGTCCTAACTGTATCACAGAATCGGAGTAAAACGCTCGTATTGAGGGCAGACCGTTTGATACAATTATATCAACCTCTGAGTAGTCTAGATTGCATAATCTTCGAAACGAAGGAGCGCCTAGTTGAGTTGCGTTTCTGTCATTTATACGTGAGAATCGTTCATCCGTCTATGGTTGTATTGTTTAAGCACTGGAGTTAGATTTTTCTCGGGCCGTTTCTTTCGATGTTTCCTTTAATTTTAATCCTCACGAATATATACAGACGACAAACATTTGCAAGTAAGTATTTCACGGCGTGAGGAAGAGGTTAAGAGGAAAGGACAGAAAAATTAGAGTAATAAACCTTTTTTTGGTGGCCTTTTTTTTCGAAATCGATCAAGCAAGATCAAAACTACATAAATTTTCGCCTCATTAAAATTTCAGGAGGTAGGATCGATCGCGTCGGTGCGTTTCAAGTTTCAAAAAAAAAAAAAAAAAAAAAAAAAAAAAACCTCATAATTTCGATATCACTTTTTTCTCTGTCCGTTAATTCAGCATGTCCTGTTCAGCAAAATCCCAAAAAAACTTAACTATTTTAATTCGCTTATTATTAAACTCATTTTGGTGTGCATAAGACCTGAAAGTCTCGCAATCTGATCCTTTTTTGCAAGTTTCTTGGCGAAACCAAAAAATACGCAAAATGAAGGTAATACGGGAACTTTATTCATCTGACTTCTTTGATTTCCCAAGTTTCTAATTCATTTTCAAATGCTGATTTCATCACGTTGATTGCGGATTATTCGCAAGACTTCTAACTCACTGACTTTGATGTGGACTGAAAATTTTTTTTCGTACCTATGGATTAATTTTGAAAATTTTCATACGTTTTATCTGTACATTCTGTATGAAATCATCACGGGAGAAAATTCTACAGTTGTTTCAGTTTTTGACCTGTCCGATTTTATAAAATTATACGTTTTCTTTGAAATTAGGCCGATTTTTTTTCTCAACGAATATATATTGGAGAGTTAACAGAGTACTTTCATCCTCATGTGCCATAGCACAACCAATTCGGATGTGATATAATTCATTCAATTTGAAACCACAGAAAGACCAGCAAAATAAATTGCATACGAGGATTTTCGCTAATACTATATACATGTGCAATTTTTAAGACCCTAAATTAAAACGAAGAGGAATGCAATATGAAAGAAAACAATCCCATTGAGCTCTCGAAAGATCTCTATTTTTTCTATAAATTTCGAACCGTGCTACGTGAATGAAACGCGTCTTCTGCATGATAAATAGTTTGAATTTCTTCATTCCTCTATTTCTACTAACGGGGAATCGGAAGAAAGGAGAGGAGCATATTGAAAGAAAATCATGAAATACCATCTCGTAAATCCTCGTGACCATTCTACTGTCAATAAACTAATTTTAATGCAAATAAGTGACCTTCAGTTGGGGAAGAATTCTCATCGACTCCTGAAAGCCCTCATTAATGGTGTGCTGAAGAGGGATCAAGTATATTGAAATGAGGTTGCCGCTTCATCTCCAATTGCGTTACATTTATAAATGATGAAATTTCACCGACGAACAAACCTTATTTGTGATACAAGCGTTCTGAACGCATTGCCTACAAAATTACCCCGGGACGGCACGGAAAGATTCGCCTTCAAATCCGCGGGTAGGCAAAACTAAAAAGCTCCATAGGCGTCTTAGGCTATCCTATCGCCTTACAGTAAGCTACTGATCGTGAATTAATTTGCATAGTTTTATTTTCTCCGTATTTTATGCGTTTGCGATAAGGTCGATACGCAATAATAATTTCAGGGTTAGATTATAAAAAATAATAAAATAGATGTATCATACGTGATCGGACTTGCGAGGAAGAATACTCCCGTGTTCTTGCAAAAAAATGCTGCAATCGGGAAAAAGTAAGTCTCAGTGCTAAATAGACTTACGAGTCTTTTGCTCAAAATGTCAGGATTAAAGCCGTAAATTATCGGAATTAGGTATCAAAAGCCCTACTGCTCCTATCGATATGTTTTGTCTTTATTCATTGGTGCGCCGCCGTGAAAATGTGAATCCTGAGGAAGTCCAAACTCCAAAAAAAGGACGGATGACAAGATGTTTGGTAATTAATACTATAATGAGATAAATATAAAATTTTCCAGGCATTCAGGTAAATTTACCCTTTTGCTGGCAATAAAATGACAATTCAATAGATAGATGCATAGATGACTGACATCGTGATTAGTTTTGGCAATTTTTTGAAAACTAGGATGAGAATTGGCTCTGACATTTTTTAGGCATAGGATCCATTTTTTAATCCATCTCGGGACACGCCATATCCTAGCTTTCATCTTATCATTCATCCCATAATAATTTACGAATTGAAATGGAATGCAGGGTGCAAATGTAGAAACATCAGAAATCGGCAAAAATGCAGGCATATCTAAGATTAATTTTGACGGGTAGGTAAACATTTGCATCCATCAGGAGTTCGAACTATTGTCCCACATCTTTTGTTCCCATCACGCTTGTTGAGTACTCAGAATTTTGATTAAACCTTACATTAAAGCCTCCACGCCCACTCTCCCTGCCTTCGGGCTGTTTCGATACTGAATGATGAAAAAATGGCACCACGTCAAATATCAAATTACTAGTTGTTTTTCGGATCTTATAAATCAAACATACTTATGATGCGGCTGTGACACGGCGCACAGAGGATGGAGTCAATAGGAGAGGTCGGACAAAATTCGAAAACTTTAAACGCTCATAACTCCGTTTAACTTCGAGGTTCTAAATTTGGTTCCATCGGTTTCCTTGTAAATTTTTTTTTCTGCAACACCCCCTGAAATTTAAAATATGGCGAAATAAGTATCAAAATGTGCAGTTCTAGTCAAAATGTCATGTCTGACCTCTCTAATTGACACGATCCACTGCTGTGCGGTGACAGGCATAATGCGATGCGCGATGCCATAATAATCCCTATAAAAAAATTGATAAAAAAACCCCACCCCTCAAAAAGCCCCACTTGACCGTACACCGAAAACCGAACAAAAGCTTTGTATGATGAAACATCCATACATTTTCGATTCTGGAGATTCTTGTGTAGAAAATAAGTCGGAGAGAGAGAAGTTGTCAAATATTTGTTAAAGGAGTATGCCATGAATTCTTCGGATTAGTGAGAAGAAGTTGTTTAGAAGAATCAGTTTTAGTGTTATTCAGCTAGTGAAAAACTGAAAGAAGTTAAATGAGGAAAAACGTTTGGCTTTAATCGAGTTTGGCTTTAACCGTCACATATCGGGTAAGCAAACGCTACAGAGCTATCCAAAAAATAAAAGGGCGAGATGAAGCGAACGTTTTGTTGTCGAAAGGAAGTATGTGTTCAAGGTTTACGTGCAACATAGTTTCTTTTCGCATAAATGCATAAGGCTTAGTGACAGATCGCCGATAGGAATAAAAAATTTAACAACTTAAAACTGCCTCAGTAGCTATGTCTTCTAGTTGGCACAACCTTCAAAATAGGTATACATACTGCTTGACAGGTCAAACGGTGCTCAACAAAGAGCATCCGGCCTACCTTTAGATGCCCCCCTCCCCCCGTTTTTTTAAATTTATTCCACTCTTACTCGTCGGACGGGACTAAATCTATCGATCGAGTTTCGGACGGACATCTATTTATTCAGAACTTTGACAGTTCAAATCAGCATCATTGAGTGAAGAAGATTGAATAAAGGTAGAATAAGAGCAATTAATTATTGCTAAAGTGTGCAAATTTGTGTGCGTCTGAGATATTTTCTTTGTGCAATAATTTAAGTGCATGCAAAAATAAATCATATGTAAAGAGGGGGGGGGGATATCGATATGAGCCGTTTTTGCAGTACCCACCTTAGTTGAATTTCTTCGACTCAGTGATTTTTTGATAATTGAAGGTCTATAAATTTATGAGTAGCATCATGATTTGGTTGTTCCTTGCTTCTTTGTAGGTCTAGAAATGGCTTGAAAATGGGTCTGAAAACCGATTTTTGCGAGAAATATGGATGTTTCGGCATTCGACCGCAAACCCGTAAAAGTCACAGGTTTGGTGCAAAGTCGGCCTTCAGACCCATGTTTAGGCCAGTATCAGATCCGAAAATGACCAAATCGTGATGCATTCCATAAAATATACACCTTTAATGAGCAAAAAATCGTAAAGTTACGGAAATTCAGAGGGAAACCCCTCCTTTTGGAGAGATTAAAAAAATAGGAGAGTAAAAAAAACTCTGTTACCAATACCTAGATCCTCTCCTCTTTTTTCTCAATAGATAGGTATGACAAAATAAACACAAACATTACTTGTTGGATTGATTCAGGATTTTTTTTGCTGTTTAGGTGACACATATTTTAATGAAAATATTGAAGCTAAATTGATTGGTATCTTGCGTCTATTTGATGTTGGTGTGTGCACTAGTATTTCATGATTTCACCTTTTGAAAAGGCTTGTTTTAATGGTCTAAATAATTATCAACCTTTAGATTCCGTCCCTGGTTTGTATTTTGAAAATTAGAAAACAGTAAAAAAATAATTAAGAAAAACGTGTACTGATGAACACCGATTTTATAAACAAAATTCATATTTTAAAAAAAATATGGAAAAATATTTTGAAATTCATTTTCTTCATGATTTATAAAAAGCAATTACAAGTGGAATAAATGCAGCCAATGGTAAAAAAAAGTGGTGGAAAGTCTGTACTCAATTTTTTTTTTAACTGCCCTGTGTTTTTTTAATTATTTTCTCCATTAGACTAGATTTCCTGACGATATTAATTCAACGACCATCCAATCCACAAAAATTACATTTTAAAATAGATGACAGCTACTTACTGGGAAAGTACAGCGCTTTAAGACGGCAGATCACAATAGCAAAATATAAGATTTTATACTTCCAAATCGGAGTAGATTTTCGGATAGTTGCTTTTTTATTCCTCCACGAGAGGAAAAACTACAGGACAAGCAATGCTAAGCTGTCCAACACCAGAGGCATTAGACACGAAGTAAATACGAAAATTGATTATTACCGGTAAAGTGACGTGACGATACGATAAGGAACGTGGAGTAACATTGTGGTTTGAGATAATACCATGCATGACACTGAGGGACCGTTGGCGGGACCGTAACCGCCCCTAGCGGCAAAGGCACGCAACACTCCTTACATCTTTTTCACTTCCTCCGAGACCAAGAACCATGACGTCTCATCTACCAGCTGATGTGATTAACTTTCATTCGTCGTAATTTTGAGCGCAAGAGAGCCGTGATTTACGGCAATTTGGTGTTTTGTAAACTTGCAACCATTTTATGAGTGCTGTTTCAAAATTTTTACTATGACACATAGGTATGACGATTTAGTCGTACCTACAAAAATGTCTTTTCTTATTCATGCAATGGTTACATTCGCTTTAAAAAAATGCAATACGCGATTGAATTCAAAGAAGTAAAAAATGAAGGAAAAAAAAGACAAAGAAAACACAAATTACAGTTTTGGAAGACCCGCTACATCACGGCGTGGGATACTTTACTACTCTAACGACAAAGTCGTGAATCGAGCGAATTTTGTCGATAAAGTCGATGTCGATCGAGGCGCTAACGATCGGTACACGTTTTTATTTTTTGATGGATTCATGTCCATCGATCCAGGAAAGCTGGTATTTTTCAAGAAACCAGGCGCAAAGTCAACGTTCTCAAACACTTCCTTTTCATCTTTTGCGGTGAGATAGGAAAAAGAAAAAAAGAAAGAATGAGAAGTAGTTTCCGAGTAAATTAAATGAGAGAATTCAGAAGAACGTCAAGTTGCCGACAAAGTCCATAGAGAAAGAAAGGAGGTGTTTTCATTTCGGGCATCTTGGAATTTTTTTGATGACGTATATAGGTCGGTACAGCGACGTTTATCTCGATTCTCTTGAAAATGGTGTAATTTATGGAAAAAAGTCATACTATAAAAAGTGCTTGATATTATATCATGAGTTGATTTAAATAAAAAAATCGGACATTATGGTCCGTTTTTCATATTTCGAATTCCGGATTTTGCTGGCCAGGTTGTATTGACCTACGTCACAGGGTAAACAAACCTCAAGATGCAAACACCTCCTTTTTTTTCTCTATGGACAAAGTCAGGCGAGTAATTGGCGCTGAATGGTTTCCATTTTATTTTGTGTATTTATAATTGATTTAATCATTTCTTTTTTTAATTTGATTAAATACTCAAATGCAGTACCTTCGCACAACGACGACGTATGAATGCAATGAGTTGTATTTGTATGTGTCTGTTGTAATTTTGCTATCGTAAGGGGAATAAGTTGAAGGCGCAATGGCTTTTTCAGTGCTAGTTCTGGATACAACTATTCGTGTTCTCGGGGTATCCGTGTTGCATACACACTAAATTGCGGGCGTTTCGACTTTCTGAAGCTCAACGTATGCCTGCGGTTGTAAGCTCTGAAGGGTTTTCTAAGTTGCATTTGGAATCGTGTTTACCATGGAGGCGTGGAAATTTGAATAAGTCTATTAGCACCATTACATCCTTGCAAAAAGGTGTAAATTGCTGAAATATTATTGGTTGTAATACGCTGGATTGGCATCCACGATGCCTTCGCGGGTGTTTTCGGTGGAAAATTTGAAGCATTTGGCAACGCTGCCGCTATACAACATGACTCTGTCTAACTCCGGAATTCCATGGTAAACACGATTGCAAATGGAACATTAGGAAACCCCTGAGAAATTACATCCGTAGGCATACGTTGAGCTTGAGAAAGCCAAAGCGCCCGCAATTTTTCGTGTATGCAACACGGACATCCCGAGAACACGAATAGTTGTATCCAGACCTAGCATTGAAAAAGCAATTGCGCCTTCAACTTCTTTCGCTTGCGACAGCAAAATCTGTAACTCATTGCATTCATACGTCGTCGTTGCACGAAGATGTGCATTTGAGTACTTAATCAGATTGAAAAAAAGAAATGATTAAATTAATTATGAATATACAAATAAAATGGAGCCTTTTCATTAGAGTACCTGTATAGCGAGAGTATGGACAGATGTGAAACTCCGAAAATCCATCAGGCCTTCACCGATACTTCTGCGAATAAAATTAGGGCCCAGAAATGCAGCCAACCTATGAATTTCAATTATCCAGAACGATTTACTAGTACTATTGTTACGAACCGTCGTTTATTAAGCACGTGTTTGACTCAGTTTTTGCATAAATTTACTCAATTTCGCGGAAGAACGCTCATTTCTGTACATTCTTGGCCATCATGGTTAGAATTGGAATCTGCAGACTGGCAGTGAAATTTTGTGCGTTAGAAGTTGGTTAAAAGGGTGGCTGCACTTTTGGGCCCTAAGCCCTCCATGAAGCGATCTGTCCATACTCTCGCTTTACAGGTACTCTACTTTTCATCATGCTCCAATTACTCGCCTGACTTTATCGGTAATTACACCCTTGACCTTCTTTTGAATTTTCTCATATAATTTATTTGGCAAAATGTAAAAATTGTACCCTATGGATTTTTTACTATCTTCCGTTTGAGGCAACCTTGCCAAAGGGTGCAATCTTCGGGGATCGTTACTGACAAAAAGGAGCAGAATCACGACCTATCGTGATCATCGCCGTATGTAGGATGACGAGTTTTTTTTTGGATCTAAAAATTCCCTGACTTTTCAGATACTTAAAATACAAAAACCTCCGACTTATCCTTAGCTTTTCAAAGTTGTTTTGGCATAGTTGCTTTCTGATAAAAATTCTAAGCGCAAACAATTCTGAATGCGACGCATTTAGAGGGTGAAAAAATACGATGTTTTGGCTCGAGGAAAACATTTCTACGGCAAAATTCTTTGATTTTTCCGTCTTATTAGGGTTGGGCAAAATTCCTCGATATAGCTCCAAAAAGAGGTCCGCGCCTTCTGGACGGGGCCTCCCCGGAAAATTTTTGAAAAATTGAGACGTCTCAACAGCAATTTCAAACTTCCTCATCAAAAAATTAATCAAATTACAATTATTTAAAAGTTGAGAGATACGTCACGCATTCACTCGGCAAAATCCCTCACATTTCTTGGGAGGGACAGACCACCCCGCCCCCTCTCCAGTTTTGCCCTTGTCCAAAAATATGGAAGATGGAAAATTTTCACCTTCCTCAAGGAGGGACGGTAAGGTTTTAAGTAAAATTTTACGGAGTTCAGAACGTATGCTCAACGGCGTGAGTCTTAGTTCACGCGTGTCTTGAGAAAAAGCCATGAGCTCGTGATGAAATTTTTTCATGGGTATGTTTTTGTCTCTCTTTTTTTTCTTTTTCCATATTAGCAAAAAATAAAAGAAAATGTAAGAGCACATTAATTTATTACAACTTTCACTTAACGCGTATTTTTTACGCTTCCGCGGGGTGAGATCATTTTGAGGCAGAGATCCAGGGTGTCTACTAAAACTGGCTAGCGAAACTTAAGTACTTTGTGGTACTTTTTTAGTACCTTTCCAAAAAATTCAGTACCTCATAAGCAGAAAAAAATTCAGCACTTTTTCGGTACCTTTAAGTTGATTCTTGATTTGAGTTCTTATTACTTAGTTACATTCTAAATCTGAGCTTTTAGATTTTTAATTCCACGATAAAAATGATTCATTTACGAAGCAAAATTTTAGCTTGGGCACACTTAGACTATGCGGTCAAACTGCAATAGTGGCAAAGGAGAACCGTTAAGACCATGCGTGGAGGCTATTTCAATACTATCTTCCATCGTATGCCTAAGGCGCGACGATACAACTATTACTACTCTCCGGAATGCGTGAGGTATCACGCTACGATTGAAGGCGTTTTCGAAACTGCCAATTTTCCATATCAGGACTCATGTGTCGTATAAACACAGTATCTACTAAAAACGGCTGGCAAATATTAAATACTTTTACAGTATTATTTTAGTACCTGTCAGAAAAATTCAGTAACGACCTCATAGGCAGAAATATTCAGTATTTTTTGGTGCCTTCAAGTAACGAAATTCGAAAATTGTCAAAATTCACGCGCAAATCGCGGAAAAAATGACATGGACAGGAAACTCGAAGCTTATTGGTGGCATGAGGATGAACTGGCTTTTCAATCTCGATCTAGCGGAAAATATACTGCACTATGAATCATTGAACAACAGATTGCATATTTTCCACGCTGTTTTAAAAAACACCCATGCCATAAAGCAAAAAATTCAGGACCTTTATAGGGAATTTCTGTACTTTTTCAGTGCTTCTAGACCGCTCTCATAAAATCGGTACTATTTCCGGACCAGGAGACACCTTCAGATCGAGAATAAATTTCACTCCAAAGACAAACTTTCTGCACTTCTGCTGAATCGATTCACTTCTAGATTACCTACGGTCAGCAAGTTAGCAACAGAGGAGAGCTTTCTTTTAGTCCACATTTGCCTGCCCATGTAAAGTGCAAATCGATGGTGTAAGTCGGCAATCACATAACTCGTTTGTGGTGTCTGAAAATCTCCGCCTCGATGTTATTTTTTTAAAGGAGAACAAACTGACATCATTCCTGGAAGTTTTTGCAAAATTTTCTTTGCACAGAGAAGAAAAATCACAGCAGTTTTAAAGAATTGCCATTGAGTAGATTCCCATTTAAAAAATAGAGTATGACAGGAAGACTGCGACATCGCAAACCGTGTTATGTGATTGCCAACTGACACCGTCGAAATGCATATATTGCTGTTCTTAAGGACTCACTTTTGCATACCTTGGCAGTTTAAGGAAATCACAAAATATCACATAAATTTTTCAATTATCTTCCATTGAAAATTTTACAAACTTAAGACAAATGGAGCGAGAGGAATGCCAAAACTTGAATAATAAAAAAGTATTTAAATATTATAGATTTAATAACTACAAAAATTTTGTCTAGAGCACATATCTCAGGATACATACTTATATTTACAGTAATGAAATTTCGGTACATGTTAAGGAGGGAATAAAGCCGTCCTGCATGTAGGATTGTTGGTACTTACAAAGAAAGTGAATTTACACTGATAAAGAGATAAGCAATTGTTTGTAAAAAATTGTTATGAATCATCATTACATTTCCTGATGAATTTTTAGGAGAAATTACATCAGATAAATTATTCAAAGGTGACTTTAGTCATGTAAAAAAAAGACATTACCTGATGAGGGCAAAAGCAACAAAGAAGAAGGAAAAAACTAGCACAGGATAATTTATTTGGAGGACTATCCAGATGAAAATGTACAACTTAATAACATTGATGTGGAGGAGAGTAATTTAAGGGTCGAAATTTCAATATTTGAAAGGTATTTGCCTCCTTTACGGTTAATGAACTTCTTCCCCATCAATTAAGTTTGAGTAAAGAACTTTCACTCTTTTTCTTTCTTTTTCTGATGGTATGCTTGAGCTAGCCTGCTTCATTCTTTTTAGTTGGTCCCGCTAGAAAAATGAAATTTGAATAATTTTGCCTAGGTCTGAGAAAATGGGTAAATTGTTGCCGATAAAAGTATGTACAAAAGAGGAAGAATGATCAACAATTTCACTTTTAAATACATCGAATACAATGACTGTGTCAATGCTTGGAAAATAAAAAAAAAAATTTGCTACTTAAGAGTTAACAAAAATGTGATACACACACAATGAAGTAAGATGGAATAGAGTCCTACGATAAAGATTGATTTATCCTATGATGATGCTCAAATCAAAAGAGATCATAAAATAAAGAGTACATAAACTTGACTTTCTGGTTCACAAACATTAATCCAAATGAGAAGAATTCTATTATAATTTTTAAGGGTTTACAGGATATTCAAAGTTTTAAGAGCCATTTTTCTAAATGTTAAAAAAGGAAAATCTGACATATATAATCTCATAAAGGATATCTAAGAGGCAAAAACGCGCCACTTCTCATAAATAGTTGGTAATCCAATACCATAGGTAACTATGGGATTTTCCATGTTAGTGGCGGCCGCCTCCATTTAAAATTCCTTTTCAGTACTAAGCACAACAAATACTCAGGTTAGTAAGTGAACAGTCTAGTATGAGTAAATATTGGACATTTTGTAATAAAATGTTCTCAAGATATGCATGAAGGATTTTTGTATACATAGAAAAATACAGAATGTAAAATCAAGAAAAGATCAATATTGTACAAAATATTTACAATTTACAAGTGCATCATAGAAACTTATAATTATAAATAAATACATATCACAATGTTTCAGTTGTATTTACATGAAGGCAAGTGACAAAGCTGTTCTTGGCCTGAAATTGGTGAGAAAAATTCACCAAAGTTGAGGAAATCATTTGACTTGTCCAAAAGATAGTTCTTAACAGGCAATTTATTCTGAGTTGAAAAATACCTATCATTGATGTAAAGGAATTACTCTTTAAAAATTCATTCAAGATTTACCAGGTGGCTTTTAAAGTGCCCTATTACGCAAGGAGGAATAGTAATATTAATGGTGGTGGCGATGGTACCAGTCGATCAGGCTCACTAGCAGAGCGCCACTTTGGGGTCTTAGCGACTGGCAACTATGCGGATTCATGCTATGAGAGGGATAGAATCTGACTTAATTTTCTCGTATTCTTTTACAGGAATTCATATCATTGAACTGTAATTTCCTTCAAATTGACTTGCTTGTGAATGCATAAAGTCAGCAATGAGAAAAAGCACATTCATTCAGGAATCAAATTTGAAAAGATGCCACAAGCGTCTTCAGTTAGCCAAGCTTTTTAGCCCATTATTTTTAGAGGAAACTACAGCAACAGTGCACTTAGTACAGAAAGTCAGAGAGCAATAATTGAGATTCTTCTTTACATCAACTAGCTAAAGACAGTTCACACTGATGCCACAGCAGCCAAAAATCAATTGTAAAATCGAGGCAATTACATTCGAAATGTAACTCTAATGCCATCTGACCATTGCAGCATGTAAACTTAGAATCATTACGGTAGAATGAACAATTTATGAAAAAGGAATTTTTCCCAATTAGGCGATATAGACAATCTATAAGTTTATAAATGACTGGAAACTTTTAAAAATCCCCAACATCAGAGCTAACTTTTTCTTCTATAGAAAAAATTGAAGAGAAAAAATATAATTATTATGTGTGACTGATGGTGGGTATTTTTAACCATCATCGTTCATTACTACTTTACAAAAAATGAATTGTTTGTTGTATATTGAGTAAAAAAGCCTGTTAAATGAAGAGGATAAAAGTTGCTTTCCCTTATAACTCAACCATTGAATTTTTCTGGGATAAATGAGCGAGGGCATTTTCAAGATTTTTCTGGTAATACAACAGTTAATCAAAATAGGTACTCTTAATTGTTGAATGTAATTGTTTCTTACACTGTAACCAGGGATTGCTAAAATTTTGTCGAAAAGACTTGTGGTGGAAAATATGTGTGGCACACCTATAATGAACCAACTACTTCTACAAAAACAGAGAGAATCAAGCTTGAAGTTCCAATTTTTTTGGATGAGATATGGAGAGAAATACATTTAAAAATGAGTTACTTGAAATATTATTTGTTACTATAATGAAAGAACCAAATATGTATTAAAGCCTGAAGTTAGTTTTTGAAGTTAGCTCAATGGTATGAGAGGGTGCACGATAAGAATCTTACTTCAACGCTCGCTTTCCAGAAGGATTAGGCATTAAAAGAAGTCAAAAGGGATTTTATCTACCAATCTCTTTGCAATCTGATATGAGATAAATGGGTGATTCCTCAAAAATTAAGTGATACTAGCTAAATTAGGCCACAGACTACTAGAAGGGTTCAGAGAGACACTTCAGAGCTTGCTTCATGGTCAGAAAATTCTGCTAAGTGGTCATGGTTGACATCGTAGGATGTATCTGCCTGTTCTGCGTCTGACATGTTGTAGTAGGATGAGTCAAGTTTGCCAGCACCACCCATTCCACTTGTTGAAAGTTGATCCAGGCGATTCATTCCTTCCAAAGCTCGTCTATTATTTGGATCTAGGCTGGAAATGGAGGAAAAATATATTTTATTTCCATCTGAAGGAGCAAGTAACATCAAATCAAGAAATCTTGAAAAGGAAATTACATAATACAAGGGAAAATTATCTCAATTTTGGGAGGCATCAAGACTTTTTATTAGAAGTGTGAAACATCAAATAGAAAGTCATCTAAAAATAAACCACACTAAACAAGAGAGATCAAGCTACGAACGGAAATGCAGCTGCGCTTTTGTTTTTTGTTTAGTTCGAAAGACTTTTCTGCAAGAGATGATTCCTTTCAGGCCTAGTTGTGGTCAAGCTGGCTATTGATATTGATTGCACATGTAAAAAATGTGGACTAACTTTAAGTTCCATGAGTTTTTCTATGCATGAGACAAAAAAAAAAAAAATAAATCTTTTCTGGAAAAAGAAATTATTTGGAGAACAAGGAGTTAGAGAGAGCAATTTACAGAAATTATTTAATACTTACTTTAATGCACTCTGGTAGTGATTAAAGGCCTTCTCATCTTCATGCATTCGAGACAATAAGTCACCCAGCATTTGATGCAGTCTACAATTTGGAGTGAGAGAGACTTGCCTTTCAAGTAGAGAAATGGCCGCTTCTAAGTTCATTTCCTAGATGAGGTAATTAAGACAGGAAATAACATGAAATTAACAATGTGTGCATGAGGTAAAACATTTTGAAATAGTCAAAACTTTTTATGAAACTTTTATGACTAACTTTTTATAAGGTAAAGTAAACTTGAGAAAACAGAGGAAATATGCTAGGAAAATTTTCATAAAGTACATGAAAGAAAGAAGATCGGAAAACCATTCATACATGGGAAACTCTAACCAGGCCAGATGTATTTAGGCTTTTGCTCTCGAATATTACAAAAACAATTTGCAACGATTAAGTTTTTTTTTTTTTTTTTTTTTTTTTTTTTTTTTTACATGAGATCTTAAAGCTGTAGATGTGGCTACAGCCTTCTCTTTTTCCATTTTCTCGATGGACGCATTTTCTCAATGTGTAACTCATAGCACAAGGGACTGAGGTGGATGATTGGCTAGATCTAACACTTAAAGAATCCCTTGTGACTTAGTTCACTGAATAAATTCACTTGGGTTTTAATTAAGTTTTCAATTACAACTTGAAATCACTTGGATTGAATTATTCTTGCCTAACATAATTGTACATTATTTCATAAATGAGGAGGGTTCCAGAAGGAGGGTATGTAAAAGCCCGAACGTGCGTGTTCCTCTGAGCAGCTACGAGGGGCGTTCAATAAGTAAGTATCCCCCCCTCTCTAAAATCCATTAGAATGAACCAATTTTAAAAAACTTGGGCTCAAAATCTTCCTTAGGATATTTTGAGTTCAACAAAACAAACCGCAACAAAATCGGACCATGTCCGGCCGAACGCGAGCCGTTTGAACGCGCCGAGGTGCTCGACGCTCCCGCCGAATCCGCGAGGATTTGAAGTCCGCTACAGGAGAAGAGCTTCTCTGCCAAAGCCTCAGTCGTTCATCACTGACGAAAAATCAAAGAAATTTTTGTAGAATAAGGGGCTTACCTCACTTCTCCACATAACCAGCTCGATCCAAGCAAGTCTGATACTGAGACTAAGAGAACAGCTTTTGGATGCCTCGCGCGTGGAAGTCTTTCAGCTGACCGGGGATGAAAGAGTGGACGGCTTGTTTGATCTCTTCCCTGATTCAACATTAACTCCTCCGAGTTCAGATTTCAGATACGATAATAAATGGCAAACCAGACCACCATTTATTCCCGTTCCTCAAATCTGAACTCGGAGGAGTTAATGTTGAATCAGGGAAGAGATCAAACAAGCCGTCCACTCTTTCATCCCCGGTCAGCTGAAAGACTTCCACGCGCGAGGCATCCAAAAGCTGTTCTCTTAGTCTCAGTATCAGACTTGCTTGGATCGAGCTGGTTATGTGGAGAAGTGAGGTAAGCCCCTTATTCTACAAAAATTTCTTTGATTTTTCGTCAGTGATGAACGACTGAGGCTTTGGCAGAGAAGCTCTTCTCCTGTAGCGGACTTCAAATCCTCGCGGATTCGGCGGGAGCGTCGAGCACCTCGGCGCGTTCAAACGGCTCGCGTTCGGCCGGACATGGTCCGATTTTGTTGCGGTTTGTTTTGTTGAACTCAAAATATCCTAAGGAAGATTTTGAGCCCAAGTTTTTTAAAATTGGTTCATTCTAATGGATTTTAGAGAGGGGGGATACTTACTTATTGAACGCCCCTCGTACTACCTGCACAGACAGGAGTGAAGCTAAAGCCACTGCTACCCGCTTGTCTGGATACGACGGATCAGGAAATGGGCTTGCCTTTGTTTTATGGGCCCTTTTTCCAGAATTCTCCTCAGGTGTTAAAGGATTCAAAACTTCTTCATCACTGTTGATTGATAGAACCATACCAATACCATACCAATAATACTTAATAATAGCAACAAGCCAGCTGCGCATGCCATAGACGTCGAGTTTCTTCACTCAAAATCGACAAAAATAATGGCCTTTGAAAAACTTGAGGTTGACATCATCCAGAGAAGTAGTGCATAATATGGTTCTATTACCTTGAAATCTGTATACAGCATTAGTTGTTCAATAAGTGGGATGCAAGGATGAAAAAAATGTAGAAGGAACCGTGAAAACAAATACTGGGGCGAGTGGCTCAAGCAACAGCATTGTTCTGAGGAGCTGTATCTCTGTGTATTTTGGTCCTAGAGACTTGGCATTAGAACTGGGTTTATTATTTTTCACTCAATCCAGTTGAATAGTGGAATCATCCCAACACCAACTCACTTCAATCCTTCTCCATTTATTTATTTATTTTTGTTTATTTTTTGTTTTTTTTTTGTTTTAGAAAATATTTTAATTAAATACATACCTGTTCATAGATTTCTGCCAACAAATAGACGGCCGGCAAACATGTTTCATTTTGGGCTAGAGCTTTCTCCAAAAGATTTTTAGCCTTGCAGACTGTGACAGGATCCTTCATTAAGACTGTAGCATAAAGCTATAATTTGACAGAAAAATATTGGTCAATATTATATTACAGTAAAATATTGGTAAATAAATTGACCCTTAAAAAGCCTCTAATCTTAATTGACTTAATTGACTCTTGACAGCTATTCCGTGTATACAAAAGATAATTCTTGTTCTATTATACTTAATGACCTATTCAGATAAATTGTAGCGGAAGTGATAGGATTAGAGGTTTTTTACCTTTTCTCCCTCTTTTTGGAGGGAATGCATTATTAATGAAGTCTTTCTTATTATTTTGATACACGATGTTCAGCTATCAAAAGTTCTTCATTAACATTAGTTTTTTTGTCTTACATTTTAGCATTTCATATCAGTCATTACTGATGATCATTCGTTAACCTAGGATTCATGATTGATGCTTCAGGCAATGTATTAATTATACATTCTTTCTTCCAACATTCTGATGGCTCCTGACAACATCAACTCCATAATTAAAAAATTGAAAATCTTTCAAAAAAAAAAAGAATAAAAAAAAAGAAAAAGAAAAACCTAATCAACAACTGCCATGACAGGAGATGGAAATCTTACCACTAGAGCCCGGGGGGTCTGACCCAATTGCTTGCAAGCGTTACTTGCAATTGTGACAGCTTCTCGAATGCGGTGCATTGCAATGTAACAATCAATCAAACCTTTGTGTGGTTCATGCCGGTAAGGAGCCACCTAAAATAAATAAACCGTGTAACATGTATTACTGTACATTTTATGCACTATCTGGATACTTTTGCTGGTATCTACTTTCCACATCATGCAATCTAATTTGTGAGGGTTTTTCAACAGAAAAATGCCTACATTATGAGAGATAAAAATTTGATACTCAGCAGAAAAGAAGGCACAGTTTGGGTTGAAAGAAGAGAGACATATGCCCTAATGACAAAGGAGGACAAAATTCTACAAATTTCACCTAGATATCTTAAGTTTTACTCTACAACCTAATTTGGCTATGCAAAGTAAATCCTTAAAAATGAGGGTTCATGAATTTATTAGACTGAAAAAAAAAACCGTTGAATTTTAAATCATAGAGAGTAGAGACTATCAATTTATTCATGTAATAAAATTCAATTGCTTCGTTCATTTGAAATGACCATGGTTGGCTGCCATGTTAGGACCATCAAATAATAAGACAAACCACAGAACATACTTGCATGTCCTTTGAAGGACGAAGAGCAGCATGCGTTTGTTGAACCAATCCAGAGAGAGAATAACGTGACCAATTTAGTAAAATTGATAATCAAGAGGATAATTGCCAATAACTTAATGGAACTATTTTTATCAAATTATAAAGTTAGTTTCTCTGCAATATACGTTGCAGAGATAGACTATTGTGGTAAACCTAATTCTACTGACAAAATAATGACGATAAAGTACCTGGATTGCTTCTTTGAAATGAATAGCTGCATCTTGGAATTTTTTTATTTCATAAAGGAGAGCTCCCTTGAGGATTAAAGCCTCTATGTTCTTTGGACACAGCAAACATGCCTAAAAATAAAGTTTGAAATTTTTTTTTAAAAAAATAAAAATTAAAGGATAGTAATTTTTACTTCTAATACCTTATTAACCTACTTAGGATGTCCTAGGTTAAACAACTGATCCAAAATATATATTGTCTATCGTAATATAACACCTAGATATACATTTTTCAATCCTTCGATGACAGAATGAATGATCAGGTTTCTTTCCTCTGGATAGTAGATTTTGAATGTCCATATAATCTGATTTTTGATTAAACTTCCTGTAGTATTCAGAAAATCACAGCTTTCTTACTTTTTTGCGCCTGTGCTGTGTGATAGAAACTATTCAACTCCAGCATACAGTTTCATTTTTTCAAAAATTTTCAATGATAGAAACCATACACATACATATTTTATAGGATTTGCTCTTTTAAGCTGGAGTGCTGGCATATCATGAGAACAGTATTTGATGCCTGGCAACAGCTGAGTCCTTTACCACTGCTTTCACCCAGGCTTACTGGTGAGTCAGAGAGAAAGGTAAACACTTGGGGTAACACATTGGGGAATTTAAATTCTCGATAAGTGATGGTCGAGAAGCGCATGTAAAAAAAGGTCTCCCTGATAGGACAATTTGTTTGACCGTTTACGCAGTGTGGTTAAGCTCTGACTTAAGGGTAAGGAGTCTATTTTGATAGTTCATAAAGGGTGAGTTAACAGCAAAACACACAACAGATACACGATAAACAACAAAACTGATGGAAAGAAGCTATATAAATTATTAGTTTATACAAAATGTATTCTGTTATTCCACAAATTTGTTGTTTCTTATGTATTTTCATGCGTAGAAATGGAATTTAATTTATCTGAAAACTATGTCAAGTCCTTCGGTAAATTTATTAGACCTCTAATGAAGTTCAAGACTATTCTGAGTAGCAAGAAGTATTTTACATTTCCTACACACCACACTGCAGAAAAATCAGAACATACAGCTGGCAGAAGAATGAAAGAAATAGAAGCCAAAATATTTACCTTGTGGACAAGATAGCATGCTCTATTAGGATTGTTATTTGCATACAGAAGATATCCTAGAGTCGTGAATATCTCAGGCTTATTATGCTCCTGCTGATACCACAAAGGAGGGACTATTTTCTCTAGTTCCGAAAATTTCTTGTTCTGATAAAGTTGTGAGGCTAGAGCGTCTAAACCACGAATCATTGTAGGATCTGATAGAAAAGCCTGAAAATAAAAAATAAAACAAATTAAGGAACAAGACTCTGAAATTTGATTTGTTCATTCCGAAAATATGTAGTCAACCAGTCATTAAAATAAAATTCAAATTCTTTAGTCATTTTTACAGAGCAGAATTTAACTTATTTACTTGAATTATTTACAGCAGGATCATATGAAGTTTGAAAATGAAATTCCTTAAAGAGTTTCCTTCAATATATTTGGACAACAGGAATGTTTTCCTTCCCAAATGTATTAAAGAGTAGTAATGAAAAGCTTCAAAGCATATCTCATCTTGAGTTAGGTTTGCAACAATTTAAGAATACACTAAAAATAAAGTTATTACTCATCAGATCTCCTCAGACTCATCTCCGTACCATTGTCTAAATGTTTTTATTTGTCAGCGCCTAGAAGAGGAATTTCCTCTGTAAAAGGCCAAAGTTACACTAAAAAGTTATGATATTCATCATAATTCTCAATCTAAAATGACAAGTGTCTTGCATCTACAGTGACCTCTTGTCACAATTCAAAGAATATGTAAGTAGCAAGTAAAGAAATAGGCACTGATCGTTTGATTGCAAAATAATTTATCAGTGCAAGGATAGAAAAGTGCACAATATATTGAAGGGAAAAATGTTTTTTACTAAAAATTGTTGTGCTTAAAAATATCATTGTGCTTATTCACAAGGCAATCGTCAAAAAACAATTACGAAGATTTAACTGAATAGCAAAGTAAAGACGATGATAAAAATACGACAATGCTAAGAGATGCTATCAAATTGGACCATTCCTTACATTTTGTAGGGTACTTAAAGCATGAGCCCCTTCTCCAGAATGATGATAAGCTTCTCCTAGAGAGACCAATATGCTATGATTATCCCGGAGGGGAGAACAGAGTCGGAGATCTTGAAACGTTGCAATAGCCAGTTGATATTCTCGTCCATGTAGATGAGCGTGTCCTTTGATCCACTTGATTAGCCTAGGATACGAACAAAATAAGGAATAAAAAGTAGGTATAAGTCAGCAGATGTCTGTGAAAAGATGCAGAAAATCTCTTCCTCAATGATTTTTTTATGAGAAATATGACAATGAAAAGAAATAAAAAGGTATATTGTAAGTACCTAGGGTTAGTATATTGTAAGAGTTGTTTTACTCACCAATCAAGGCCGGATACGGCTTCTATCATTAAACTATTGACTTCTACGCCTTTAACTCCTACACTCAGAAGACCTTCTGCTGCTTCCAAGGCTAATGGACACTCCTGTGGATGAAGGAAAGATGTAAATAAATTAGCTCTACTAATTCAAAAGTAATATGAGGGTTTTCGGTAAAAATGGGGAGAGGGGGAAGTATTTCATTTTACATAACTTCTAATGATTCAAACACCTCTGTAGATTAAAGTTAGACAAAAAATTTTCTCTGTCTTTTGAATAAGCTGTTTACACTTGGCAATATAAGAATGTAAATGGTACAACTTTCAACCTCTCATGCCAGGAGAGCAAGTTACATTATTTCAGCAGCATTTTGATGCAAATGATTCCATTTTGCGAAACTTAGTCCACTTATTGTTCTAATCGACCCAATTACAGTTCAAGTTAATATTAAGTTTGTGCTCTTATGTTGAAGTGTAATTTTTTACACTTACCCGCAACACTTCTTTGTAGGCAGTGATTGCTGAGCGTTCCATTCCTCCTTGTTGATACAGTTTAGCTAGAGCCATATTGATTTTTGGATTTCTCTGCTTCCCAGGGATCGATTGTAAGGTATTAATTGCTTGGTCATTTTGACGTAAATTCACGTGACACAAATGAATCTGATACTTAATTTCTGAAATAAGTAAAAGAAGAAAAAGAAAATTAGGATGGTTCAGTCAATACGACTGTAGAGAAGGGCTGAGTAGTCATATCAGTGTGCTCGAAGCCAGACTAAAATCAAAAAGTTTTTGAGACCCCAGAACTCATGAGAACCCAGTAATACGGTGCAGAATTAAGTATCACTTTCAACGGAATATCGAGTACTTATTAATATCAATAATCATGTAAACAGGAGCTACACCCAAGCAGGCTAGCCGTAGCAAAACTATTTCAAGGATCCATGTCCAACTATACTCAAAATAATGACTTCATTTGAATTCTTTGCTAAACCTTACAGCAGGACAAAGGAAGTCAGGAGTAGAGTCCTCGTCAAAAAGGTTATTGCATGTTAAGGATGAGACAGAAGGACTGCTATCTTGATTATTTCGTGTAATAGGTCAGTTGCACTGGTCACAGAATTGTGTTTTGATACTTTATTCTTGTAGATAAGCTAAAAATTATAAGACCCGTCCAAGCAGCAACTTTCTACGTTCAATATTAACCGAGATATCACCCTTTGAAAAGTCGGGTTTATGACATTATCCACCAAGGTAGTGGCACCCTTGGTTTCTCCCACCTTGCTTTCATCCGAGTTTCACATTGAGTAACCAGTGCAAATGTGCGTCATACTGACTGATGAAAAGCAAGGCATAAGACACCAAGAATGTCACTACCACAGTGGATGATGTCATAAACTCAACTTTTCAAAGAGCGATATCTCGGTCTCATTACTTTTAGCTCATCTACAAGAATGAAGCATCAAAACAAAGTTCTACGACCAGCGCAATTGGCCCATTCAAAGCGAAAACAAAGATGGAGGTGTTGTCAGATAAGTTGGCAGTTGTCAGATGCCAAAGGATTGACTGCAGGCAATGCCGCTGCCTTGAGTAGAAACGATCAGTCTACTGCACATGACAGTCAAAAGAAAACAACTGCTTACTTAGCTGATGATACCTCTGGTGGAGCTTCTGCCTATCTCTAAATGTACATAAGACAACTGATTTGGCAAGTAACAGAGATCCGATACCAACTTGACGGACAGGAATGATCACCTGTTGCAGAATCAAATTCATTCATGGAGAGGTTCTGAAAAACTGGCCCCCTCTCACTGAGCCCCCCTCGCCTGACAATACACAAAATCAGGAAACACATCATAAAAATGCAATCTCTCTGTGGTAAGTACTCGGAACATCTGAGTGAAACATGGACTGAAATAAGTATTGGCATAATTACCTATATCTGAAAATAAATCCTTCTGCTGCTCTAGAAGTTTAGCTGTCTCTTTATTTTTCATGAATGATTTTCTCAGCTGCAAAGCCTCTCGAAAGATGTTTTCTGCTTTTCGATATCGGTCATTGTGGAAAAGAGACTCTCCGTAGTACACCAAAGTTTGAAATTTTGCTAGAGGTGATAGTAGATCATTTGAGTGATTACTAGCACTAAGAACTAAATCAGCCTGCAACAAAAATAAATTCAAGTGAATTTTAAGCTTTGACTCCTGAAGAACCAGGTTTAATATCATGAGGTTCTAAATGCACAGAAAAATTATCCGATGTAGTGTAGTTCAGTCCAACTTTAAAGATATGAAGACCTGACAAAGTAACTCAGTTTTTACTAATTCTTTCAAGCACGGAGATTGATGAGTGGAAAATTAATTTGACAGCAGATTCCATCTTCCGCTGACTGGCCTCAATTACTCATCTGCAATGGCTCCATTCTCATCTTTCAAAGGAGCTTTCACTAGATAATTTCCTCACCCGCTACCTCATCAAGCAAAATGTTTGGTCAATTTCTGTTCTAGTTTCTTTGTTAATGGGACCAGATCTTGAAATAATGTTAGTATAGCTAGGCAGAATGAAAGGAAAGTTCGGATTCTGAAATTTTTCCAATGGCTAATGGTGAAACTGGTGGAATGATTGAGATTGACCCCAACCTGTCCATACAAAATTTGTATCCTAAATACAGTGGCTGTCTATCTTTTCAGTAATTCTTAATACTTGCAAAAAAAAAGACATGTGAATAACTTACAACGACGACTAGATTGGAGTATAATTGCTGATCATACAACAGCTTTATCTGCTCGAAGATAGAAGTCATTTTGTACCGTGGTTCCAGGAAACTTAGCGAAAAGTACGGATATTTTGCTGAAAATAACTGGAATAAACTGAGGAGATTCACAGGGAAAAAGTGTAATTAGTCCTAGCACCTGACGATCTTCAATTGCACTAGAAAGCACACATTCAGCTCCATTGAAACACTTTTTTAAGTTCTCTATAGATTCTGGAAGAGAAGAAATTAGATTGCACAAAACTGTCGCTATAGTACGGTAGAGTGAACGGTGAGTGATCCAAATTATTTTTTAAAGGGAAAGATAAAATTACCGGGATAAATTGTTTTACAATCTCAGAATTCAAAATTCGTGAAGAAAATGAAATCTAGTGCGCGTAGGTTATGTTTACGAAAAGTATCATAGAGAGATTAGCACTAGAGGTACCCATTTTCAAGCCCCGGGTACTCTTATGAGTTAGTCACGCGTGGCGCCTGATTTTGAACTAATTTTGAACAAAAGACATATTAATTTATTTTAATGGCCAAAAATTTTGCCAATAATGAATGATTAAAATCTTGATATTTGCATTTTTGACATTTTTTGTGAGAAATTCAGCCGAATATCGTAAAAAATTGAAGTAAGTATTTTAGTCATCAGCCGAGACGCCATGAGCCCCATTTCCCGGTGTACCTCTGAGGGTCTTACCCTCTGTGGTGTTCTCTGTGTTTATGTCCGTTTCCGAAAGTGGCATGAACTGAAATTTTGTGTTTTTTCCAGCCAGTTTATCTGATGTAAGGAGTTTTTATTAATTATTCCCTTTTCTCTTTTCCTAAGTTCGTTCTAATTTGATTAAAACCACTTATTTAATTCATTTTTACTCCCGGTTCAGCCGATCGTCGTCCAGTTTCTCGGATGGCGGTGGATAAATTTCGAGCATATAGGTTATCCGTAGTCACTAAACGTGTCTTTTAGGCGCTCAAAAGTACTAATAATCTTTTTTATTTTTGTCTCTTAGATCGATTCGTAATGGCTCCTCGTAAAGGGAAAGTAGTGCAGGAACAAGTACAGGTTTCTCTTGGACCACAAATCAAGGAAGGCGAAGTGGTCTTTGGAGTCGCCCATATTTACGCCAGTTTCAACGACACATTCGTTCATGTCACGGATTTATCAGGAAGGTAAGCTGGAGAATATTCATCCCATGCTCAGTGTCAATGCCTTTAGTTTACGTGCTTGAATTTCTAAAGTTTGCACCCTAGATGCAAACAGAATATTTACTTACTCATCTTTAAATTATCCCATATTCAGTCATTTACTACTTGTGTCAGGAGGACGTATCTGTCATCTAGCATTGTTTGTCCTATGCCAGTCTCACCTTCCAGTGGAATATAGAATTAACTGCATTTGTCTTTGCTATGTTTTTCCATCTTCAACTACTCTTGTAGTTCTCGGATGATTGTAGGACAGACGTTACACGGTTGCAGTGTAAATACTGTGTATGAAATCTTATCACCACAGGTTGAAAGGTACGAAGCTTCGGCACCAGTAAATATTGTGGAAACTTTTAAGTCTGGGTAATCTGTAGGACTCTCTCTAAATGTATTTTCCCTGTTTGAACACGATATGAGCCAGAGACGTTTTCCTATATTAATATTTTCATTCTTGAAGTTATCTACACAAACTCATATTTGTACCTGCTAGGATGTCTAAAATTTTCTATGAAGAGATCAAATCATGAGATGGGATAACTGAAGGGCAATGGGAGATAAATTGACTATTTATTTCATATTTGGTACAGATTGGCACACAGAACAATTATCACCACTGGCGTAGTTCAATTTAAAGGGTCTACAACTATTAGTTTTAAGTTAACCACATAAAATTTATCTATTGTGGAGCAAGCTGTGGTAATTTATGTTAGTATTGTCCAGGAAGATTTTGATTTAATCTATATCAGTATTTGTTTAGGCTTCTTTTAATAGCTTGATCTGGCACTAGTTGTGTATAATGCATGTAAATTCTGTATGATTCGCGAAGAGACTATTCCATGTAGTAAAGTATACCTAATCATACCAAATTTTACACCCTGTTGATGATGCTCATCAAATGATCAAATGATACATCATATTATGGGAAGCAAATTCTTTATTGTATTTGCACAGTGATCCACACTTCTCTAATGTGTCAACATTGATCTCTGCTTCCATGATACGTACCCTTCCAGAGAGGTGTTTTAAATTTCTCCTTTATATCATCATTAATTTACTTGATGTTCTCTGAAAATTGTGTACTGATCGCAAATTTCTCGATCATTCATGTTTCCAGGGAAACAATTGTACGTGTCACAGGAGGTATGAAAGTCAAAGCTGATCGTGATGAAGCTTCACCCTATGCTGCTATGTTGGCCGCTCAGGTGAGATATTTTTTCTCTTCAAGCTTAAAATAAGATTAGTTGAGACAGTGTATTTACCGAAATTTTCAATTAGATGCTCCTGCCACCTTTCTGTTCCTTTGTATTTTCTATCTGAAGCATAATGATAGTGATACTGCAAAACGCAAATCTCGGTTGCAGTGTTCTATAATCTCCGTTTCTACTTTATTTTTTAATGGAGACTAAACCAGCATAATGGCTTGAAATAACCCCGCAAAGTCCTTATGGGAAATGGCTCACTGTACAATCTGATGAAACTTGGATATGTTGCTCATCTAGTCATTCTGATCAAAAGTTCTTCCCAACAAGCGAAAGAGATCCCACAAGCGGTTTTCGAGATATTTGCCGTTTTATGTGCGTAAATTGAGGTTTTGCTGGCCGGACTGTTGCACGGAGCTTCTTGTATCCTTCCCTTCCAGTCCACTCCGGCCGCTCTCCGCTTCCCCGCCACCTTTACCCGAGGCTCGAACTCCGACGTCCACGAGGCTTTGCTCATCATCGCCCTAAGCCGGGTGGTCTTATCACCGTGAGCATCAAAGTCCGAGCCTCAAGTATGGGTGGCAGGGAAGCAGAGAGCGGTTGGAGTGGACTAGAAGGGAAGGGCAGAAAAAGTGCCGCACAACAATCCGGCCAACGAAACCTCAATTTACGCACCTAAAACGGCGAATATCTCGAAAACCGCTCTTGGAACCTCTTTTGGACCATAAAAACTTTAGATCAGAATGACTTGCTGAGCAACATATCCAAGTTGCATTAAAGTGTAGCAAGACATTTCCCATAACGACTGTGTGGGGCTCTTTTCATAGAATATTCTTCATATAGAGAAAAAAAATCACCGAAGTTTTCAAGAACTCACGTTCAGTCGTTTTCTATGTAAAACATAAAGTATGACAAGAAGGCTGCAAATCAATACACACATTTCTACTGTTTCATTATTATTATTCAAGTAATTGGAAATTCGATAGAAATACTATTCCCTCTGTCCCGTATTATCTCCCAGTAAGCTGATCTCAGTGTCTTGCTATACTTTCTTATTACTGATTTACCATGACAATGGTTACAGCAACATCAGCGTTCCAGACAGAGAGAGATGAAGTTGTGGTTCTTGTAGGCATTTCACATGTAATTTTAGGCTGCCTGCATGTATGAGACAAGGTACCAGTCAGTATTTTTCCTCTCTGAGCTTTGTTGCTGGAGGTGAAAAAAGATTTCCATGGCGTAAAAGGAGATCTCACCTCACTATTATGGAAAGAAGTAGAATATGCCTGTTCATGCTCATTAGGAAAACAGTTCAACTAAATGAGTTGAATACAAATCTTCATCTCCTCTCCTCCTTCATTGAATCTGCATAGAAGTTTCACAGCACAAAACTTTGACACAAGTCTCCATAGCCGATCGGTTTTATCTCTTAATTTTCCCGTTTGATGTCGCCCAACCAGTTCCTGGATTTCAATTAGCTCCATACTTTCAAGAAAATGCCTAATTATAATCTAGCAAAACCAAATTTTAACAAATTGACAATAAATGCAGTTTTCAGCAAAGTAATAAAGGACATAAGCAATAAAAAAAGGCACCGTCAGAATTTGTTTCGGACTCATTCCCAAATGAAGGCCCTCTTCTCATTTTGATTTGGAGTGAGGAATCATGTGACTGATCCAGAGCCAGAAAACATTTTTAGAGATATATTTTAGAGTTTAAAGATAATAACTTGTAGACAAATTGAATTAATAGCTACTTACAAGTCTGTCCCTGTCTCAAAATTCTAAGTGCTGTTGCTAACATCTGAAAAGTTTCATTTCAGCTCATTTGGGACCCAAGGGAATAATCCCATGCTTCAAAACTTAACTCAAGGAATAATCTCTCAATATTCAAAAATTATTACACAGAGTCTGCTCATGGGTGAAGACACCTTAAGCAGTGCATGGAGGCTACTTACTTGAAAGAGTGGATTTTGTCGAATTAAGTCATCAAGTCTGAGTTCAAGCTTTTGATGTATTTAACTCTCCAATGGCAAGATAATGGCATTGTTTTAAGTCGATATTTGTTTAAATTTTGTATTCTAATGATCTTATTTTCTGTCCAGGATGTTGCAGAGAAGTGCAAATCTCTAGGTATCACAGCTCTGCACATTAAATTGCGAGCTACTGGTGGTAACAAAACTAAAACCCCTGGACCTGGTGCACAATCAGCTCTCCGTGCTTTAGCCCGTTCCAACATGAAGATCGGAAGGATAGAAGATGTCACACCCATTCCCTCTGACCAGACAAGAAGGAAAGGAGGTCGACGTGGTCGTCGTCTATAGTTTTGTTATTTGTATTGTATATTTTTATCACTCAACTTCATACTTTTTGTTTTTTTTCATTATCAATTTTTACTGTCCAAACAACTGACATAAACTTCCTTCTACACTCGATTTTCCAAAGAGTTCACTTATTGTTCCACCTGCCTTTTTTTGCCCAGAAAAAAGTATCCTCACCAATGAGTGAGGCACTTGAATTGAGACAATTTTTCGTTAATCATGCAATAGCTCTCCTAAATCTTCCACTACTTTCAAAAAAGTGGATCCATCCAGGAGTCGAATTTTATCCGCTCTTTCACACGGAGACGCAACATTCATCGATGAGTCCAAACTGCACCCCCTAACCAATTAGAAGCGCTAAGCCAGACTTCAGTGCGGTGGAGATGCGCCTCGAGTATACTTAAGGACGATGGAAAGGACTGACAAAGTTCGGCCCCAGTCATAATTGATTTGATTCATGTGGAAACGTTCAATGTCCATTCTCTATTGTAGATCAGTAGATTCATTCAATATTATGCTGATTATTGTCAGTTCCTAAAAACCTCGGATCTGGTGCTTGATTTAAGTCGCCTAGAAATTATTTTTGACCAGCTTTTCTTTAAATTTTGACACATCTTATCAGAAAAATCTTTTTTGGACTTCTGCCTTTTTGCATGAGTCAGCTCAGTTATTCTGATAATTCTGAAAAGTTCAAATAACATTGTGAACATGTCTATGTTACTTTAAACTAATGCTTGTCCCAAAAAATCTTACATGGGCATTCATCTGGATATTTCTTGGGTATTATTTCCTTCTTTATTTATTTATTAACGTATCATTTGATAGACCATGGCACAGGTCAAGCTCACAGAAACATCGCTCACTTTTAAGAAATGTTAAACACGATTTTCAAACGACCAGAAACTTCAGTGGAACTTTTAAAAAAATTACCCAACTACTCAAATCACGATTTGGATTCCACATACTCCTCTAAGTAAGTGTACTAACAGTGATTTGTCACTAGTCTATGAATAGTCATAGCCATTAGTTCTTAGCTATTCAAGAAATGAAATTGTAAAGTGTCTTAGTAAATGGTCTAAAATTCAAATTCTCATTCGGTATTTTTTCACCAGCAAGAAATTTTGACCTTTAAAAATAGAGCAGGATCCCAGTAAAAAGAGGCTCGTTTTTAGTATGCAAGGAATCCTTAGAATTGAAGACCCAAGCGCAGCCATGGAAATTTTTTTGAGAAAAAAAGTTCTTGAATTGAGATCTTGTCAGGGAGCTTCTTGTTATATCCCTAGAGATAAGTACCCAGTAGTCAAGCTCAGTTTTTCATCTCGGGGAGTAAAATCTCATTAAAAATTCAACAATTTTGACCACCGAACATGGCAGACGAAAACTTCAGATGCATAAGCATACCTTCCTCTAAAAACAATGTTCCTAGAGCTCTAAATATCAAACCATCATGAATCCAGTTTAGTTTGACATTTGTGTGCGTTTCATGTTGTAGAGTTTGTAAAATGCCCTTTTTTGCACTGGAACCAAGATCTGTGACACTTGATATCCCTTTTTTCAGCTGATCCAATTCCTCATGAAATTTATAATTTTTCGGTGATTCCTCAATGCGTTTTAATTTTTGATCTCATCATCCATGCAAAAGTCAAAATTGAATGTTATACAAAAAATTGTTTTCTAGTAGCTTAAGTATATATTCAAGGAACTTGTAAGTTTGTTTTGAAAGAGGAATAGGTACTCAGATAATTACTTAGATCCTTGTCCCAACAAACAGGCGGGAGAGTATCAAGCAATATTAAGCGCATAACTGCAGATCAATTAGAAAACTGAAGTTCTATTTGCAGGTAAGTTCTTACTTCTAAGTAAACTTTTCAAATTTTTGAGTGGACAAATGAGACGTTTAAAAACAGCTTACACCAGTTTCCAATTTTGGATCGATGGAGAATGAGATCTACTGTTGGACGAGTTAAATCTTATAACATTTTCATTGTGAAGGAAATTTTCAGTGAATTATCCACTAACCCAGGCAATCAGTTATAACTGATATTACAGCATGCAAAAACTCTACTGACATCACAGAACATGTTAAATGCGCACACATCTTTTCCTCAAAGAATGCAAGTAAGCATCTCCCAAAGAAAAGGTAACATCAAGCACATGAATTATCATGAGTAGTAATTTCAGTAAAAATGATCACGTGGTGAAATCTGTATAGAAAATGGTTGAGATAATTTGTAACATTTTTCTGTATTGCTCACATATTTATAAAATTGAATGGAATCGCAGGATACACCTTGCGGCATTCCACGTCAAAAGTTTCTCCGTCAATTTGAAAATGGCGCCAAATCTATCAAGGCCAAGTTTTCCCAATGTGAGTAAGTAAAAGTTTGTTGATGGAAAATATGAATTGAAAAAATCGTAATTCTTGAGAAAAATTAGAATTAGTGAATAAATTTATAGATTTTCATATTTGAGGCATCATAATACGATGTTTTAATGAAATTAGGATAGTTATAAAAAAAACAAAAGTGGAAAGAGCTCGTCGAATTTTATTGTCCTGCATCACTGTAACAACAACACGAATTTGACGTATTTTCTTATCACACAACACACGTGCTTTTATTTTCACTACATATCTATTTTGAATTGCCCGGAATGTAATTTCATTTGACATAATATAATGGATACCTCATTTTCATCTACGAAATTCAATGCCGAAGATTTTAACATCATCGAATTTTGTCATGCCACAAGACTGCAATCGACGGCTGAAGTCACGTCAATTGGAGGTTAGCTGCACGTTTTTTTACGAACTTAAGTTATCTTTCTTCTATGACACTTTTGTGCCGTTTTTGATGGTCTATTTCAGAAATGTTTTTTGGCAATACACGGGCACACTATACCATCGGTGGGTACCAAAAAATTTTTATAACGTTTGAGCTGGATCATGATGACGTTGAGAGACATCAATCGCAGCTTCAAACTAGCTTACGATAGAGTTCATGCCGAATAAGTTTACGAACTTCCGGACTGGGACAAAAGATCATGTATCATCAGTTTTACATGTAATGTTATTGCCAGAAGCAAGATGACAGATCTTTTATCGTAGTCTAAAAGTGCCTATTCCTCTTTGGCGTGGACTCAAGGTACCTACAATCTAATGGACTCAAGTCTTAGACTAAAATCTTGTCAGAATACCCAATACCCAATGGTTCTTATTTTTATTAATGTCAACTTGGTTGACAGAAGAGTCACACCAAGCTTTGATTCAGAATGGAAGCAAGAATAGGAGAACCTGGTTTACCTCATGTTTGCAAGCTGCTTTGCTGCCATCATCCAACAGTAATCAAGGATTGACTGATTGCCACCAAGCTGCTACACGCAGATTTGTCTATTGTTCTGCCGCGTGTGACGGTCCAAAGTAACTGACACAAGTTCTATCAATCTTGTTGAAAATTATTTTAGTTTCAAACAAATCTTAAATACACTGGTCCAAGTGCTGGAATGAGCGTTAATTTTCCTAAAATTTTTAGATGACTAGAATTTGGAAATAATCTTCTTTGCAGTGGTCTAATCAGTCTCTCTCAACTTTTTTTAAAAGGATTCCTTACCTCTTATGTTTCAGAGTCAGGTGCAAATGATAGCATTCCATCGCTAACTGAATTTCTCCGCAAAGGTGAATATTTTGAGGTTTTCCACTCCAATGCCTCCAAGAACTTACTCAATTCCTTGCAAGCAGCAATTAATTCTTCTGAACATAGCGATGATGTGGATTTGATTTTTTTAACTGCCTGTAATAGTGAGACAGTGAACAGATGCTTGAATACCCTCACATCGTAAGTAGTCTCATTTATTTTATGTTGATATCTGTAATTTTGATTCAGCAAAAAGTCTCTACTTAAAGAACATCATCTGAACATTTGAAATCCATTAAATATTTCTAGTTCAACTCCCAAGCATAACAATTTTGTCCATAGTTTGCATTTAAACCTGTCAATTCAATTGTACTGCTCAGCCGGGGAAAAAAAAAAGCATATCAGATGGATTATTGATAACAATGGGCCTGTTGCAAACTTTTGCTAGAGCAAAACTAAGAGTTGTTTCTTACAGATAATGCCCTAAAAATCACGATGAGCGCATCGGCAAAGTCTGAAATTCACTCATAACTTCACAATCTGCATAAGAAATTTGCGGTTTTTTGAGCTTCCCGCTTCGAAAACGATACTACGGTACAGGTGAACATTTTGTTAGAGGAGTCGTTCCATTGGCGGCAATACTCATCATGGCCGACGCCAGTCCGCCAAAACACGTGTGATGGGACGAGATAACACCTGAACAGGATTAAACCACATAACAATCGGCGTGTTTACGTTCATATTTTCCTCGCCCGCCTTAATTGACCTTGAACTCTCCTCGAATTACGCGAGGAACTGCGCAAGCGTCGGCCATGATGAGTATTGCCGACGATGGAGCGACTCCTCTAACAAAATGTTCACCTGTGCAGTGGTATCGTTTTTGAAGCGGGAAGCTCAAAATAACGCAATTTTCTTACGCAGATTGTGAATTTATGAGTGCATTTCAGACTTTGCCGATGCGCTCATCGTGATTTTTGAGGCATTATCTATAAGAAACAATTCTTCATTCTGCTCTAGCAAAAGTTTGCAACAGGCCCATTCAATTATTTTGGAAATAGTCTGAGTTGGCTTTTAATGAAGTTGGCCGTTTTCTCGGAATAGAGAAAACTTCTGTCTGGTCAAGAAAAATTCAGCTCTATTGAAAATTTATTCATTGCAAAGAAAAAATTACCGCAGTACTGAATTTGACCCGAGGAAACTAGGAAGCTTAGTTTATTTGCAAGTGAGAAATTTATGAGCTATGTAGTTGGCAACATGACCTCCAAATTTCTCTTCAATGGTAAAAGTACTTACAAAAGCTTCAAGTGGAGTAACCAAATCTTTCGGCATTGAGTGTTAGAGCCTTTGAAGGGCCATAGCTCACGAAGTGTTATGTGTATGCTAAAAAATTTCTCTCATTGTAACTTCTAAAAACAATCATATTGTCTGAAATAACCTACTTTCACCATTAATGAGGCTTGCAAGATCTTTAACTGGCCAAGCTCCATGCAACACATGCCTGCGTAATCCTACGGCTCTGCGCTATGCATTCCTCTACTTAATCACATTACTTGTGCATCTTTGCAAATATGTTTACACGTTATATCAGCAGCAAACCTATCTAGGTATCTTTGTTTTTACTAAGTACCTGAGCAATATTCACAATCCAGTTCAAAATCTATCATTTGAATGAGAGTTTCCATAATTATATGCGTTTTTTTTCTTTCCAGTTTTTCTGATTACTTATGTCTTCCTGTGGCATTCCTTAGACTTTTTGTTCAAGCTAATTGGACTGGACCTCCAGTTGACTCCAACAAAATCAAGTATGTATTTTATGACAATTAATAGCATCAACATTTTTTAAAAATCCTGTTTTTGTAGTAAGTCAGGAGGAAAAGAGCATTTTACACTCCAGTAGGGAACTTTTTCCAAGTGTACTGCTGCTATCTGCCTATCAGAGTTGCTGCTGGATTCTGCAATTCCTTAAGTTTATTTGCACAGCTCTTAATGAAAAATTGCCATGTAGGAACAAGGCCCTTTGATTTCAAATGAGTAAAAATTTCAGGAAACAGAGCAAAAATGAGCTCCTGAAGTATGATCTTTTTTGTGGAAGACTGAAATCTTCACTCTTCTAAACTGAATTTGTTAGTCTTTATCCTTTACTTTTACTAAGTAATTTAATATTTTGTTCGCTACTTTTATCTCAATGCACATCCTTAACCCCATCATTTTCTCAAAAGAAAAAAAAGGAAAAATTATTAAGTTGTTAATTCATTTTAATTATTTTTCAGTGGGGTCACAGAATGGGTCAGATCGCTGTTTGCTAAATGGAACAATGATTCACCTGATAAACTACGGATATTTTTAACAATAGATGGAGAGTCTATTTGCCAAAATGCTAAGCATCTAGAACTTCTTGTAGCTGCCCAGTTTTTATTCAAATTGAACAAGTTCTATTCCGTAAGTCTTATACTTTTCTCAGTGGAAAATTTGCTCGAAAAATTTTCATTGCTTCATTTTTATAATTTTTTCCTGTTACCTATGCAAAATAGAGGAAAAATAGATTTAGAATTGAAAAAATGTACCACCCTATGACATCATCAGGTTGCATTTCCCATTTAATCACATGTTTCCGAGCAGATTATGTTATTTTGTCATATCTTTTCCAATAATTTAGAAACCAAAGATATCCTTGTGCTCAGTTTATTCAGTAGTTTCCACTAAAACATAAAATTCATCGAATTTCAAACTTCTGCAAATTCTGCATTCCATATGTTCATCACAGCCTTTTTTTCTTAGAAAGCACCTTTACTTATGAAGTGGTGCAATATTGTAGCTGTTGTGTGAAATGTTGATGCTGCCCTGTAGTGACTAACATAAAATGTGCGTCATTTGCTACCAGAGAACCAGGTTTTCACACCGATATGTAACCTTTCTGAATTATAGCCTAAATATTTATACCCCATATACTTGTAGTGTTTTATTAATTTGTTCTTCTTTTTCGGTTTCTCTCATTTTAGCCTTTCCAAGAATGGTGGTATTTGAGGTCAATGATGCTTCAACAAAGAATTTTAGAAGAAAGGTCGGAAAAACTGCACAATATACTTCTCGCAGCCACTAAGTCTTTAGAGCCTCAAATCAAAGATCTCTCTCCTGTAGCTCATAGGATGTTTATCTTAGAACTCTGTCAATATTACTTGAACCTTTATGCTGAAATCGGAGTGGCCAAAACTTACCTGCAAACAGTTGAAAATGATTTCAACATGAACGTTCAACTTAGAGGTATTCAGACTTTATTCTCTGAAAAGTTACTGTAAGTAGGTATTACTGAAAGTGTGAAATATGTGCTCAGGTACGTAAATAAGAAGAACAAGAAACAAAGTATGAGCTCAAGGTTAAAAGTCTGTAAACAATGGTGGATGGATCATCTGCACAAGAACACTATTTTCAGTCATTGGAAAAAGACGAAAGTAAGCTAATGGATTGTTCTTTAATGATATCCCCCTACCAAAAGCCGTTATTAAAGATGATGTTTTGAAGGATTTACCTCAACAAAAAACTATTGAAAAACTTGTGACTTCCATAAAATTTAAGGCAATGAAGGGTTCCTTTATGCAAGAATTGGTACGATTCTTTAGTTAATTGAAGCTCTCGTAGTCTAATAGTTACAGGAGTTGCTGTAACCAATGATTTTAAAATGAAAAACCAAGTTAATGTAATTTTGGCCCATGGGTTTTCAGGTGCTTTAGGAAAACGAACAAAGTTCCAAGAAAATGATGTAGCCCAGCTATTTCTTCAAATCACCACCAAAGATGAAGAAACTTCTCCTAATCTTTTTGAAAATGAGGACGTCACTTCAAGACATCTACCAAAAGTGAGTTTCTAATCATTTTTCTGCCTCCTCCCCTCCCCAAGGAGAGTTCATCTCTGTATGCTACACAAGAATGCAAAAAGTTTTGAAACGCCTGCTGTTTCTTGTCATAAAATGTTTGGATTACCAATCAGTAAAGTTATTTTTAGTAAATGATTACCAATTCCGGATTTATATTATATGTTTTGATATTTTATGTGCTTTAGATAGCTTGTTATTAATTTTATGGTTTTTAGGGAAGGTTTACATCATTTTCTATTGTGAATTTTACAGGACATTAATTTGAATGATGATGTACGATTAGATGAGATCAATTTTTTGGACGATTCAGTAAAACGATTCCCAAAACTTTCACCTCTGCAGCAAGCTGTGCTACTCTGCCACTTGTAAGTACATTATACAAACACCGAACTGTTACATTACTTTTTCATATTTAGACCCTTTTTTTTGTCTTGCTAATTCTTCCTTACAACCCCAGATTTAACAAGTAGATGGTCCCACCCTGCCTAGGAGAGCCTCTCACTTTTTGAATCCTTCTTTTAGACATGGCCTGACCTTCTTCAACAATTAAAGCAAATCTATATCGCTACCCGTCATATTTTACAAATTACTAGATTGTGTCTTCACTTTTGGCGGTGTCTTGGTGTCCTTTTTTTTTGTTTTGTAAGTAGGCTAACATATATGGAGACTATTCAAGAAAAGTAAGTAATGGATTTAAAAAAAAATGAATGACCCCCAAATTTTGGACATCCTGACTATTAACATAACTGCAATACCATATTTTTTAGAAACTTACCTTTCTGTTCGACATTTTCTCTGCAACTTCCTGATATTTTTATCTTTTATTTGTTAATTTTTTGCAGCAACTATATGAAGAAAAGTCAGCCAAAAGATGACCTTGAAAATGAGGAACTGAGCCCATATTTATTTGTAAGTTTTCTTAATGCTCTATATTTTCTGCTTTTATTTGTACTACTACGGTGTAAAATGCTAGCTTTTCTCCATATTATTTTCAGTGAAAATCTTGGAGCCGAAGATCTCCAATAACAAATCTTTGGATAGTAAATGAGTCTCCGTATCATCTCTTCTTTGATCGCTGAGTCAGAAAATTAGAGTAATAAATATATCGTTATAGGAATCGGGGAGAAAGTGAGGGCTCATTCATGAACTATTAAGTGTGTGCTGAGAGAAACTCAAGTTCAATTTTAAGAATTTTCTGAAATCTTTAGACTCCTCAAAGCAATTGACAAATGATTCATTCAAACAAATTTAAACATTTCTAGCAGGTAACTTCAGTAAATGCTTTTATTAATTTCACACCGTCTCTTCCATTATTGATTTTGAGCAGTCTTTTTTATTTGTTCTACTTTCAGCATTTTCAGCGTTCACATTTAAACAAAATTTTTCAATGTTGCACTTATGTTCCATTTAGATTTTTCATTTATTTCCTTTGAATTTTTGTCAGAGTGTGTTGGCACAACCTCAATGTTGGGGTCTTCAGACTGTGGCGCTTATTTACCGATCTCAGCTAGAACGTGGTCAGCCAAAAGCTCTTGAAAGGTCCCTGACACAGCTAGAGGTACTGATCCAATTTTTATAATCACCTCATATTCGATAGAGGGTAAAAGGTTCTCAATTATGTAATACTGCATGAATGTATCAGTTGCAATTCATCAATGAGTCAAGCTGAAAAACTTTTACCAGTCATGTTTAAAAATTTTCGTTTTTCCATCAATGCTTTGAATGAAAATCAGATCACATCTTAGTTTGAAATTGTCAGTGAATATCCTCTACAATATGATCGAAAAATCTCAGATATTAGAATAAAGAAATTTTTTCTTTTCAAAAATTTGAGTCCGCAAAAATTGAAAACTTGTAAAATATTGTGATTGTAGCTCGCCACTTTGTATTCCAATCTAAAATAGACTTCATATTCAAAGACTCATATTATCACAGGTTTGTGTTACAACTCCTTTTTTATGAATGTATACTTTTATCATTTTTAGCTTCTCAATTATTTTTTTGAAGAACTAATCTTTTTAAATATCATGCACTTTAAAAAATCAAGGTTTTAGCCCCCTAGGAATGATTCGCATATTTTATTTTGTAGAACCTTCTTCCTACCAAAACAAATATGTTGCTTTATTGTATAGAACTATGAGCGTGCTTACTACTTACCTCTTTTTTTTTCATAATGGCCATTTCAGTCCTTAGTGAATAACGTCTCTTCATGTGAGCCCAACGTTTCTGAAAGGCTGGATATGTTCTTCTACATATATCTACCACAAGCCTGGGAAGTGGAGGCAATTTTGGCCGAGCTGTTTATTACCATAGGAGCAGTGCAGTCAGCATTAGACATTTACTTACGGATAGAGTTTTGGGAACAAATAGTCGCTTGTTACAACCATCTCAATTTAAGGCATAAGGTAAGGATTCAAGTTGTGTTTCCAGACAACTCACATATGGATGTTGAAATGGCAGAAATGCGTATCTGGGTTTGCAGCATTGCAGACTTCCTCTCATATTTTATTTTCTCCATGAAAAACCACGGAACGTCTGTTTTTTAAAATTTCAGTGACAAAAATTCAGTTATTTTTATTAGAAAGTAAATTCATTTCTGTATGAGCTCTAAATCGCATGAAAATACATGTGAACCAGCCTTCTTCTGGAAATGGACTTTTTCCTCTTTGAAAGAGAGCTGATTAAAGTGTCTCTCAACGTTACAATGAAAATTTGCTTTTAAATTTCCTGTTCTTTAGACCTGAAAACCCTCATTATTTTTCTTGGTTCAACATTTTCATATAACATGTGGTTTTACGGCTCGTCTATTAACCTTTCAGGCTGCTGAAGTTATTCAAAGTGAACTGAAAAAGAAAGAAACTCCAAAGCTTTACTGTTTGCTTGGCGATGCAACAGATGATCCTGATTGTTATCAAAAAGCATGGGACCTTTCCAAGCACAAAAGTGCTCGAGCGCAGCGACACTGGGGCATGTACCATTATAATAGGAAGCAGGTAATATTGTACAATATTTTTCCTCTGTTTTTAGTTCCATCAGAAAGTTTATCGAGAGCCAAGGAATAACACTGCTTAACTGACAATTTTGGCGGAAATGAGTTTAAAGACTTTGCTACATTCGTCAGTATTAAATACGCAAGCTGGTGTTTTAAGTTTTTTCCAATTTTGCGTGAGAGTACTGTTAAAGAGCCTTAATGTATAAAAAAATTGCAAATCTAACCACATAATTACAAGGATGGCCGAAGTCTCTTCTTTGTCTCGCAAAATTTAGTTTGCAGATAGGCGGTATTATTCCTTAGCCATCATTATCCTTCCTAATTTTAAGACAGAGTTACTTCCGACTCCCCAGATAGCATTGTTTTTATCCATTTTTTGATAGAGCATTGACGTATTTTAGAGGGTAAAGTCTCTTTCGAATGATCACATAACTTTAACTGTGCTCATGCTTTGAGCTTTGTCTGTGAAACTAGAGGACATGTATCTTGGTCTGCCACATTGCAGGTTTCCCTCTCTATATACCTTCTTTAATCCAGGAATCTCAACTCTTACTAAATTATTCATAATTTCCTTATCAACAGACAAAGATTATAAATCTCAATTTCAGCAACTCAATCAGGAATGAACTCAAATTAGACAAATACTCAACACAACTCAATCAGATGAATATTTTTCAAATATTCATTCAATATTGATGACTCAAGTTTAAGTTTTTATGAGTTTATTTTTTAAGTTTTCCATTCTTTGAGGTGGTTTTATGCACAGACGGTTACAATTACTTAAATAAAGATAGAGAGAGAGAAAAAAATTAAACCTGAACTAAAATTTAGTATAATTCTAAAATTCACATCAAATTGATTAATCTATATCTATCTCTGTTTTAACGTATGTACTTAATTAATTTTGGTTTTATTTCTTTCTTTCTCCTTTTTTCAGTATCAGGAGTGTATTCCATTCTTTGAAAAATCATTGTCTCTGAACAGTCTTCAACCTGAATTAATTTATCGTCTGGGATATGCTGCACTAACGTGTGAAAAATGGGAACTCTGTGCATCCACTTACAGGCGTTACTGCGTATTGCAACCTGATGTAAGCTACTTCTCACCCACAAAATTTAAATACAGTCATCTGTTCTATTACGTTTGACAAGTTTCTGCGTTAAAGCGGTTTTTTCGAAAATTGATCATCATTGCTGAATACTTGCGCACCAACCAAATCTGAACTCAACTTTGTCAATGGCAGGATCAAAGTTCCTGCACTAAATATGGCAGAAGAATACTTTTTCCTCGATAAAGTTTAATGCAGCCACTGTGTTTGAATTGATAATTATCACATTAATATTTGATCACGTTAAATTTTTTTCTTTTTTTACAAATTTTATTGTTGATTGTGCTGTCACAGAATACTAATTGTTTTGTTTCAGTGTTTTGAAGCCTGGAATAATCTTGCTAAAGCATATGTGAAACGAGGAGAAAAACATCGCGCTCTGAATGCTTTACAAGAGGCAATCAAATGTAATTATGAAAATTGGAGAGTATGGGATAACTTATTAGCTGTCAGCACAGATTGTGCAGATTTTGAGACCGTAAGTTTCTCTTCCAGTCATTTTTTTTTCCGTCCAAGTTTTACCCCTCTAGTTTCAATTTTTGAAAGCTGTGGCTGTAGCATAGATCTGATGCCTATGAACTGTGTGTTTCTTACCCACCTAAGATTTCAAGTGGAATTAGTTCTGCTGAGTTTTTAGACTAATCTATGCAGTGAGGCCGTGATTTTTTCACATTTTATTAATCTTATCCAGACAATACTCTCACTTTTTGCTCGTGGCAGAAGTTAAATGTGAGTTCCACCTCTTCTCCTCTTAAAATCAACTCTCTTTGAAACACATAAATCATGACAGGTTGTGCATGAATCATATCCATATTAATGAAGCGATCTTAACTCTTTTCTCATGTTATTATTTTAATGTAGGTATTATTGAGCTATCATAGATTGCTAGATCTGAGAGGTCGGCACACGGATGTTGAGGTGTTGGAATGTGTGGTGAAAGCAATAACCCAAAATTTGTCAGATGCTGATGGCAAACCCTGCAAAGTGCATTTAAAAGCAGCACTGAAACTTTTCGGTCGTCTGACAAGTCAGGTAGTGATTTTTATTCACTCAAAACATTAATTTTAAGTGCAACGAATTCCAATTTATTTGCAAGAGTTTAGATTAGAACTGTTGAAAGAAGTTCTTTACGGGAGATTCTAGTCTCAGTTTAAAGAAAAACTGTAATTTGACACAACTGTAAACATCTTTTAAGGGATAAATGAGCAGGATCTGTTCTCAATAATAAGAAAGTACCCTCTGCAAACCCTTTGAATAACTCAAAACTTGAAAAAATAGTCATGAAATATTCCATTGCCCACTCTAGATTTTGACAATCAAAATTTCAATTTCTTTGTATCCTCTCTAATGAAATTCTCTCCGTACCTTTCCAGATCCATAATAATGCCAAGCTTTGGCAGTTGTATGCGGAACTTACAGCATGCACTCCAGAACCGTCTCAAGAAACTTTTGACAAAGTTTCCCAATATTTTCAAAGAGCTCATAAAGCAGCTATCCAAGATTTTAATTGGTTTAAAAATGTCTCAACCTGCAAAGAAGTCCTCACTGTTTGTGTATCTTTAGCGCGTTGTAAGTGTACCCTTAATTTTCTTTTTACTGCCTTTTTTTTAGCCCATCACAAATCACTGAGTTTCGTACTTCTACTTTAAGACTTTGACATGCTAGGCCTAATTTGTTATTGTCAGTACACTTCACATTGTTCATATTGCTCTTATATTTATCATTATAGTCAAGAGGATCTTTCATTACAAGCTAATGTAATGTAACAAGTAAATCAAAATCTATAGTGGAACAACATAAGTATGTTTCTTGATGGCAGTGTTTCAAATTTTTTTTCTGTTTTTTTTTTGGCCGAAATGTTAATGGACATTTTCATAGAAAATTTCCTGGTAATACTTTCGAAAAAGTATAGAAAAACTCCACTAAATTTTGTACAACAACGATGCCTAATCATCCTTCAAAAATTTAAATTTTGACAGAAAGTCTGCAAGCTTGCAAACCAAACAAGTGATTTCACTGTGCTTTCATTATAAATCTGCAACTAAAACTTCTCTTTCAAGTAAAAATATCGTGCATTAGAGATGAAGGAGTTGAGTGTGGCGTTTTGAAATAAATGGAGCTATTGATGATTTGGAGTAAATATCGTTTTGTATGTACTTATTTTACCTCCAGTTTCAAGTTTTAAGTTCATTGGTGTTGTGAGGCTTTTCTCATTTAAACTCGTTTTACTCAAATTCACATTTATGTCCCTTAACTCTTTCTCCAAAACCTATCAAATATGTAGAGTCATAACGTCTGTTACTCACCATTTCACTGTGCTCTACTATAATATTCTTTTTTCTTTACGATAATTTTTTTCCTTCCTTCAAATTTTGTCCACTTATGTTTGGTTTATTTTCTCTCAGCTTACAAAGATTGCTGTAATAAATGCACTGAGCCTAGGTATCTGCGAAATATATTGTCTTCAGCCAAACTGTCCATTAACTCAGTTCTCTCCAAGATAAAGGTAAACAGATATTTGCATACTTTCAAAAAGCTCCCCTTTTCTTCATTTTATGCATCTATTGATAATTTTATTCATCATCTTTCATTCCAAAAGAAAAATTTTACTGGAGCTTTTCCCAGACCAATTTTACGGTGCATGAAAAACTTTTTAAAATCAGTGCAAACTACAAAGTTGATCAGTAGAGTACGGAAATTTGAATTTTCAATATATCACTCTTTCGTTCACATATCAGTGTACTCATAAATAACAATTTTCTCGTTTTTAAAAATGGTCAAAAGCACCTCCTCATGGAAACTTGGAAACTGAATATTTTGAATAGGTAAGTATCTAAATTTTTTTTTTTTTTTTTTAAAAAAAAAAAGAGAATGTCTCTGTGTTCTAAATAATATAATTTATCTAAATTCTCATTCTGAATTTTGTTGTTCATGTATGTTTCAGCAAGAGCACACAGACCTCATCAGCGGAAAAATTGTTGAAGAACTCAGCGCAGATTTCAATGACCTGCAGCAGGAATTGAATTATTTTGAAAATGAACTTAATAATATAAAAAATCAATTGAACTCTTCTTGAAATAAAATACAATTTTATTTTAAATTTTCGTGGTTTGTTATGTTTTTATTTTTAAAAAATCTTGTCTTTAATCTCTTTCTAACAAATCCATTTACATCCCCCAATGATGATTTCAGACCAATATCTATGAAGTTGATCCATTTTTATGCATTTTAAGGAAGAGTTATCCCTCATAAAACCCTCATAGTTTCACTCATCTTTTCCGAGCTTCTCTTGCTGACAAATTTCCACCTTTTTTATACATATAATGGTGTTTCAAAATTATGATTTTACTCCCAAATTGAATCCATCTATTTTTCAAATGTCATGATTTTTGACTTAATTTAACATATAATCAATGATGAGAGCAATGGCCAATGAATGACGAATTTTGTCATCACAAGCGGGAAAAGCCGAGGGCACTCCACACTCCAGCTTTTTCAATGGTTAGGTCTGGATGCAACTATCTTTGTTCTTGGGATGTCCTTGTTGCATGCACAAAAAATTGCGGGCGCTTTGATTTTCTCAAGCACAAAGCCCACAATGGATGGCTGTGGTTGTTAGGTAGTTTTCAAGGGTTTTCTTCGTTGCATTTAAAACTTAGTTTTCAAGGATTTTCTATGTTGCTTTTACAACTTTTTTTACGCTTAAATCCTTGAAACTCGAATGAGTCATCTAGCACCATGGTAGCATTGCCAAGTGGTGCAAATTTCTGCCAATTGCCAAAAGCATTTCCACATAACTAATGAGGATGTCAATCCTGCAAATCACGACTGATGAAATTTCTTTAATTTGCTTATCTCGCTCAGAATAGCTTGTGATTTGAATTTTTATCTGAAACCATGTTAGATAAAAACATCGAAAAGCCAGAAAAAATTCGGGGATTTTCATGTTCAAAATATCTGAAAAGTTAAGGAATTTTTAAATCCAAGAAAACTTGTCATCCATCAATAGCAATGATCACGATAGGTCTTGATTCCGCTCGTTTGCGTCTAGTTTTCGCCGGTGACGATCCTGCACATTGCACCATTTGGCAGCGCCGCTACGCACGGAAGACAAGAAATAATCAATAAGACAGGCACGATTTTTACATATCTCCAAGTTAATTCAATGAGAAGATTCTGAAGAGGGTGAAGTGTGCGATCGCCGATAATGTGAAGCGAGTAATTCCCGCATGAATGGTATCCATTTCATTTACTTACATATTCATTATTAATTTCCTATTTCCTTTTTTATTTTCGATAAATACTGAAACCTCCCTTTTCGAGCGACGACGAATTATGAATGAAATGAGTGACACATTTGGTTATCACAAGCGACAATAACTGAACGGGCCCCGGCTTTTTCAACGGCAAGACCTGGATGCAACTATTCGTGTTCTCGGGATATCCGTGTTGCATACTCAAGAAATTGCGGGCGTTCTGGTTTTCTTAAACGCATCACGCTTGGCCGCGGTCGTTAGTCTGCAAGAGTTTTCCACGTTACATTTACAATGTTTATTGTGAAAGCCTCGAAATAAGAAAATGAGTGCAGTTAGCACCATAACAGCGTTGCAAAATGGTGTAAATAGAGAATTTGCAGGTGTGTGAAATTTGATGAATTTCGTTTTTGATTGGAAACTGCTAAGTGAACTGAACACGAGGATACCCTTGATTCATGAATCGCATCATTGGAGAAGATATGACAAAATTATCTAATCTGCTAAAATACGTGTGTTTATAATGGGAAATGCCGTCAGATGACATCACTAGGTGGTGCATTTTCTCACGTTTGAATCTATTTTAATATTATTTCCCATATCAGAAAAAAACTATAAAAAATAGGTACTGTGAAATCAGCTCTATAAGCACTTTCAGATGAAGCAATAAAAAATTTGCATGCAAATTCTCCATTATGGAAAGATCGAGGTAATTTTGAGGATTAATATCCAAGAAGCCTTCGTAGAAATGTTTTTAGTGATAAATTTGCAGCATTTGTCAACGCTGCCGCGCTGCAACGCTGCTCATTCTAACTCCAAGGCTTTCATGGGAGACACCAAACGTAGAAAACGCTTGCGGACTAAGAAATAAGAACCGCGGCCATGCGCTTAAGAAGACCAGAACGCCCGCAATTTTTTGTGTATGCAACACGGACGACTTGAGAACACGAATAGTTGTATCCAGACCTAGCCATTGAAAAAGCCGTAGCGCCTTAAGTTTCTTCCACCCAGTCACGATATTCACGTTCGTCGATTTCGTCACGTCTTCAAGAACACAGGCACGACACGATATTGACTGCTACCATTATTTTTTCAGCAATGCAATTTGAACTGCCATGCCGCCTGGTTGTAATAGTTGTACCATGGCTTTTTTTTCTCGTACGGTACAAATAATATGTAATTTCATCAGAGGAAAAATATTATCAGGTATATGTATATGATAACTAGAATGCAACATTGGGTGCCGGTACGGAATAGGTACCACTTACTTAGGCTGGTTTGACATATTTGCGCCGATTTCCTAGCGCGTAACGATTGTCACCCATGCCTACAACGCTGTCGTGCTAAGGAAGAACGCCGTATGAACATTCGAGAGTTGTCAAATTTCCTCGAATAAAACATGTATTTTCGACGAAATCAATGCACATTTTTTCTTGAAATTTTCAGATATTTTAGATTAAATTGCGAACAAAATATTCTGAAAAATTGGAAGAAAAATATTCACAAGATCTTCAAGAAATTCGTTTTTTATCAGAGGAAATTTGGCAGCGCTTGAAGGTTCATACGGCGTTCTTCCCTAACACGGCAGAACGGGGAAAGGCCTCTTTTGAATCAGCGCGCGAGCGGAGAATTTCACCAGTCAAGCGAATCCCAACAATTTTGAAACGTGCCGATTAACTGATCGGTCAGCGTACAGGTGACAATCTTCGGTTGCGAGAATTTAGCAGGAATTTTCTCTCAAGAATCCCCAAACCAGAATTCTAGCAATGATATGCATGCATGGTTCAAGTTGGTTTCATAACTTAAGATCTTAACGTTTCCTTTGAGGCTCAACTGATTGTGAGCTGTGCCTCTGGGCTTACATAAATCGCCAGGGTTTTGTTCTCGTGGCTCTGGGTTCAGGTGTTCATGATTTCATTTAAGACTGAATATTTTCATCAGTAAAATCGATTATTATAACTTTTAATGACACAATATTGCAGTTTTATCACCAATAAAACAAAATGGAAGAAACGAGACTAAAACAGTAGTGTTAACAGAAGTCCATACGAATTTTATAAAAATAGAAAAGGGGAAAGAAATCAATGAATTTTCGAACTTAGAAAGGGGGAAAACATGGTCAATATCAAAGAAGTGTTAAATTGGCACGGACATAGGCATGCAAATTACTAAGAATCATAACTTAAGGTTGATGTTTGAGCTTATCAGTGTGACCGCACATGTTTTTATCGTGTAGAGAGATTGTGTTAAATTTCATAAATTGGGCCTAGCAGCCAAAATTACATGAGGAGCCTTGTGTTGCATACCTACTGAAGTTTTCTTTCTGTTCCCAATATCGAGGTTTTTCCATAGATAAGTGTTTTCCCCGCCCATATAACACCGTGTAAAGTTCAGCCGATTAGTTTGCGTCGGAAAGGCATAGGCGGATCCAGCAATTTGGCAACATCGGAGTTCCTCCCCTTAAACCTATGTTAAATAATCTATGCTTGTCGGAGCCCCTGGATCCTCCAAAAATCGATACATTTTCCATAAGGTTAAAATAGAGAGAAAAAAATGTTACCAATTTGCAGGATCCGCGAATGCGTCGCGGATAGGAGGGACATTTTTTTTTTCTTAGGTACCAAGTGGAGTCTTTCCCGCTCAATTTTTGCCGCTAAAGCCGAATATGGTCCTCGTTTTCTTCCAAAATCTACCAAATTTTAGAAAAATCGATTTTTATTAAAATTCCCCCTATAAAAATCCCCTCTCTTCGGAAACTTGATTTTCCGAAGGTTTTGAAAGAAAATGAAGGCGATTTTCAGTTTCGGCGGTAAAAATTGAAATGGATTACCTCCCCTTAATACCTGAGAAAATCTGTTTTCCTCTCCTTTCCGACGCAAAAAAAATCAGATGAGCTTTACACGATGACTGGTGATATATGGGCGGAAAAGAGCACTTGTCCGGAAAAACCTCGATATTAGGATCAGAAAGGAAACTTTTAAGAGGCATACAGCTCAATTATTGAGTAATTTTGGCTGCTAAATCCGAAAATGTCCTCAGTTTTTCTCCATCGTGCTCAGGTTTTCAAGAAATTTGGCTTTTCTCTAGAAAAGCTCGTTTTTAAGGAAAATTCTGATTTATCGGGGGAAGTCTTTGTAAGCTGACCCAGAAAAAAGGAGGTCATTTCCGGAATCAGCGCTAAGAAGCCACCCGGTCGCACGTGGTACATCGCAGGCAAATTTACGCATGTTGATCAGTGTTACCAATTCAGATGGTCGAGAGTAACTCATTATAGAGGCACGGTAATTTAAGTCCAAGTTCATACTTCAAATGAAATTAAGCCATCGGTAAAGCACAATTACCTACCTCGAGTTGTGTGAGTAGTGGGAAAAATTTGTCAAAATGTTCAATTCTGGACCACTCTCTTATGCACCAGTGCGCGGTGGCCATTGGCTTTGACAAGTTTTTGCGGTTTGATGCACATTGGAAATAATATTATAGGGCAAGGGGCATAAAACTCAAACCCAATATGCATATCCAAATTCCCTTACGATGAAGGAGTTCACAGGTAGAAGAGGTTTTGGGTACGAAATGCGACTTGAACTCCTGAACTTCTCTAACACGTATCTCCCTGAAGTCCGACGCTTTAAAATTCGCTTCCTTTACCAATTTTTACGCAGCAACCCGTCAAAGAGGAGTTCAGAGAGATGGATTGCATTAAGAAATAAGAAATTAATTTTTCTGGCTCATCTATGAGCGCACTTTTGAGGAGGACTTTCATATACATGTATTTTCTGGGACAAGGTATAGAGAAGCAAAAGACTTTTTGTGTAGGTTCAAGTGGTCCTCTGATGTCACATAGGTAGTTAATACAGGGTAGGTATCCATTGATTATATTTCCGGGGAAAAGGATGCAATATTTGTAAAATGAGCCAAAAAAGTTGTTTCCGTCTGCTTATTTCGCTTTTCTAGGTGAACTGCGCTACGCACAAAACCGTGTTTAGATGGTCGAATTCTGGAGTAAGTAAAGTTGCATGAGGAGACCCATCGAGGATGCTTTTACCGAAAAACATAATGAAAGGCGCGATCCAACGCGCGATATGCCTCATGAATTCCTGCAAACCCTGGTTTCTCTCAGTTTGCATCGATGTATCACAAAATGAACATACCTATTTGCATTGGTGCCTCCTATGTGCATTGCACGTTAAAATCGAGACGAAAGAAATCATGATCCACGATGATGGAGGATGGTAACCGCTGCCACTTTAGAACGTGAAGTCCCCGTTAAGTCAGACGTAGAGACTTAGCGTTTGGATGAGTTATGTTTTGCTAATTTGTAATTCTCAACCGCCGAGAGCATGATCCTTGTACTTGCTTACAGATCAATTATTGCATGGTGGATGCCTCTGCGCCCCTGAGGCTATCCTGAAAGTCCCTACTCTATCGCTGGACATCGACCATTCGGTCGTTTAGCAAGCGGGAAGTTTTAGGAAAATATTGTGATTTTTCATTGATGAGTTAAATTTAGACATTTTAAACGTACGCCATGTTTTCCTCGAAATCTGAACAGGAAAACTTGCATTGCAGTGTCTAATTTTTTACTCTGTCCGGTGGTCTAGGATTCTAAATTGTCACTCTCCGTGAAAACTATTCACGCATGAAAAATGTTTGTTGTGACAATTATCGTCGCTCTTCTGACTTTAGAACGTATCTCAATTTCCCCGTAGGCCCTATCCTCCGTATAACTCTACGTTTTCTGGGGCTCATGTGAAAATAGAGATACGTTGTTTACGTCAGAGGAGCGAAGTTATGATGGTATGCAATATCGGAGGAAACAACAACAAAATATGGAATGGACCACGTGTGTCCTTCCGCGGGAAGACTCATTCCGTTATCACAGGATGCGAGCAAACGGCCGTTAGTTGCAACTACAGATCTGCAACTGGATGAACCCCCCATCGCATGGAGTTGGACGGATCTCGCGGCTCACGCGAAAACGGAGATAGGTGTATTTTACATAACAGCGCCCAAATGTAAATCGAACAGCACGGAGGCTTGGACCGTCTCGAAACAGGGAAAACCGATCTGGTACAATGAGTTTACTTATTAGGCACCTGAGATCCACGAGCGTCAGTCGCAGTTCGTCAGTCGGCCGGATCTGATCCGATTTTGAAATCCCTCGCTGATCGTGCCTGATTCTGATCAGCTGCAAGTGCTTCAGTGCAGATCCAGTTCCAGTTCCGCTGCCCTCGCGACTCTTAACCGGCACTTAGGGCGCTGTCCTTTACGTGACTTTCAGATTCGTGCATCGCTATCCTCCGGTCAGCTTTTCAGATTTTAGTTCCCGGTTTTGTTCTCTCTGTGATTGGATGCTGGAACCAGCCGCCGTTTTGTGTTGGAATCAGGTATTCCTGACTTATTTACTACTTAGTTGTCATTCACTGTAATCTAAGATTTTTTTTTTTTTTTTTAATATTTAAACACTGCTAGCTCAAAAGTACGCCTTGATATGAATGTGGAAAAGCTGCCCTTAGTCTCTTCAAAAAAAAAAAGTAGCGTGAAAATGTCTAAACAGCGCGTTTGAGATATATGTGTTTTCATAATTTCATTGTTGATGTCACCAACTTGCTTAGGTGTTTTATCATAAAATTACCGTTCTATACGAAACGTGTTTTTTTATTTTAAGTTTTAAACGTAATCTGGTTTAAAATATATCGAATGGTATATATCGCTGGTTTAATTGTACGAGAAAAAATGGACCTCGCCATGTTTTTAAACCATTGCATCATCATTGATAACATATCATTAAATTCTCAATGGGTAATTTTTCGTCAGTATTTTTTTTTCCAACTAATCTTTTTCCGCAAAGTCAACATCCTAGGCTCCAAATAATATTGAGTTTGGTTGTAGGGAACCGGGAGAGTTAGAATTAATAATAAATACTCAAAATTTCTGAGTAAATATGATAATTGAAATTATGTTTTATACCTACCGTAAAATTTACCGGTCACTTCCTCTGCACTTTTATTCACTTTCCAAGTAATAGTTTGAAATAACGAGTATTCCACTTTAATTCCGTAATGATTTTCTTAATTTTTCTTCTCCACCCAAAGAATATTCTGTTAAAACTTACGGCAATGATTTTAGTATGGTCCCTTTGAATGTATAAAATAGAGAGAAGTCATTTTCCATCACGGAAATTAAGATACGCGGATTTCGAGTTTTGCCATGCACGCGTGTAATCACCCCCCCCCCTTAATTTGAAGCCAGGTCGACTCAAGGGGGTTGCAAGTGCATTTAACAACTGCAAACAGTTTTACAACAGTTGCTTATATTCGTGTGAAACTGAAAATTCCGGTTTCCTTCTGATGTCCGAGATAATTCAGAGACATGTTTTCATTTCCACAATTTAACGACGCAGGTTTGAAAGATGGAATGCTCGTTTGGAGAAGATTCAAACTTTAAACAATAATTGCCTCCATAAAATTTGAACGGCGTAAATGACACAGATATTCGTGGAAAAACGCAGCAAGGTGAATCTCCTCCCATGCTTCCTCCCAAGCAGCACAGTGCAACGAAAATATTGAAATAAAAATGCAATTTATTGGAATAAAATTGCGATTTTTTCACCATAAAATTGCTTTATTTTTACATCATTTGGTCGATATAAGCCGATTTTAAACAATCAACATACAGAGCTCCATGTATCAGAAAGATAGGCAATATGCAATGTAGGTAATGAAAAATTGCACCTTATTTCAATTTTATTGCAATAAACAAGAGGAAGAAGAATTATATTTTAAAAAATCTTGACATTACTTATAGTTTCTATATTAATGTTGAGTGTGAGGTACATCCATTTCAAGAACTGATTATTAAGAGCAAGCGAACAGGCACTGTGAAATATCCATGGGAGGTACAGCTTTCCGCAGTTCAAGAGAAATAACTTTCTCCATAAAAATTGTGGCTGTATTTACGAATGGAACGAAAGGTGAACTATCGGGGGAACTAAATTGCTATACCTACCCATAAACTTTAATGCGGAAAAATTCATCTTAATGTCGGTTGGAACGTATCAATTTTTTTATAAATTTCATTTGAACCTCTTCAAAATCTAATGAAACACACCTGAGCTTCTCCAGAAATTGGATTTCAATTTTTTATCCAGGTAGGTAAATCATTTCTATTCATGCCCACGCAGCACAGTGCACTACTTCGGGAAGTTGCGTAATTGATGGTATGGTGTTCTCTGTTCTCCTACAGTTTCGTATTGTTTTTTTCAGGTTGGATCCATTGAACCGTGAACTGACGCGGCGTCTAGAGATCGATATTCAAATTTTGTAGATCTCGATGTTTGGATGCTAAGACAATGAACCCATCAAACATGTGGAGCAGCAGCAGTTCTCTCCGCATTTCATCTTTAATTCTCTTCGTCTGTAAGTGCTATTCATTTTCTTTTGATTCATGGCTTTTGGTTTTCGCAAAAGCATGGGCGGAGGTAGAGGAATTTAGACAGAACTCCCCTCCCCGAATTTTCGAGCCTTTCCCATAGAAAAGCTGTAAACGTATGCTGTCGCTAGATGCCGTTCTTCGCGAACAATAGATATGGTCGTTTCGGCCCCCCTCAGGATGAATCTCTTTCTATGCCCAGTTAAGGGCTGTGTTTATCTCCCACTCATTAAAATGTTCCAAAAACGACAGTTTTGACTTTTTTTTAATGTTCTAACTATTGCTGTTGTGTTTTTAATGTTTAAGCGATAAAAGCATGGAAACAATTTCATAAATATCACGTAGGCAAAATCCACAGCTAGACGAACCGGACTGCTTAGTAGGCGTTTTTCAGTATGGGGAACTGAGTCTTCAGTCTAGCAAACTGACCGCCTCAGCTCACAGAACTAGGATTCAGTTTGGTCAACTAAAGGCTCAGCTCACCGAACTTTAAAAACTTCGGTTGAAAGTTTATTTCGTCATATTCCGATCTCAAATTTGCATGTTTAAAATTTAAATTTAACCAAGACATTGAAAAAGAAGTAAATTACCCCTCTCCTTCCTCCGTTACAAATTCATACTGGTGGCGGAAAGAGCTTTTCGTCGAAAACCGGAATTTCAAGTGTTCAGGCCATTTTGATGGGGAAATCACTCTCCTGAAAAATTTGCAGTGAGAATCGGGATCATCTCCTCTTTTCCATCATTCTCTCACAAAGTTGCAACATCGCAAAAAAGACGTGTTCTTTTGCTTTTAATTTCTCACTGCCAATTCTTCAAAATATTCTCCATTTCCGCTTGCATCTTTCTGATTTACAATGTTATAACTGCAAACCTCTCCGGTCATTGCGTTTATGACGTGTGCGCAATTTTGGCCGTTCCCTATACTTCACAACTCTGACGTATAACTTTAAGTACACAGAAACATTACCGGCCGCCGGGTAAGCTAGAGATTCGTGAATACAAACAGTAAACATGGATGAATACTTTTTCCCTTTTAGCTCAGGGATAATAAAAACCACATACGCACATTATCTTTTCCATTGTTCTGAGAAGAGGATGTTTGCATTTTTCCAACAAATTGTTTAAAATTATAGACAGGTGATGCGTGTCTGAAAGCATGGACACGTGGGAGGAAATTCAGGAGCAAATTCCATTCATCCTCCAAAACTCAGCCGACAATTATACAAAATTCAACCATTGTTTCTTTACAGAGATATCTGAATCTTCACTTGGTAAAAAGAGACTGGGAGAAGAGGGGACAAAACAAAAAATGATTATTTTACAAAGACGCAGGTTTCTCTTTTCGAATGTAAGGCAGCAGCTGACACACTAGCGTGCGTGGGTAGTGAAATCAGTGCCTCTTGTTGGGTTCAAATCGGATAGGCAACTAAACTAACCTCTCGGCAAAGCGTAGAGTATCACAAAAGATGAAGGCGCCCCAAACCGACATCATACCCTGATAATCCGTTATCAATTGAATCCATAGCGCCGATACGAGTTTTTGTGATGATTTGTTGGGGCAACTCACAGGCCGCTTGGAATTACCGGAGATGGTTAATTATCTGCGATGCATTTATATGTATGAGTTTTATTAACACTCGACCATCTAAATGATGTTTTCCTTTTCATAAAGTCTAACCAATGATCGATGACAATTGAATGAAAATGAACAATGACTCGCTCCGCATGCATTTAATGCTCAAGTAATGTAAAATTAATTTTTTCAAAAGTTTCTGTCAACTTGTAAGCAAATCACGCGTCCAACCCACCTCAATCCTATTCCAATAGTGATATTGCATACTTAGTTTCCCAACACTGTTTTTCACCCATTCAACACCAATAGAAAGATTCTAAGCTAGGTGCCTGGTACCCTACCTCACCGAGAATCGATGAATATCGATTATTATACATTATTCATATTGGCGAGGCCCAATGTTGCCAACTTTCAAGAATCGCCTCTGTTTCACACGCGGTGAAATCCCGTATCATAACGGTTTTCGCGAGGACATTATCCATCCGAACAGACCTCTGCAATCGGGAAAGGATGGAACTGCGCAGCCGCGCTAATATCGCGAATTCCCGAGTGAGCGGGCCGCATGATTCCCGCTCTTCGCGTCCATACCCCGCATGGCATTAACCCCGTGTCCCGGTGTTTATATAACGCGCGATTTGGTTCGACGAACGGAGGATGACATTGCAGGCATAGCCCGCTTTCTGCGGATTCCCAACGTTTCAACGTTGAAATTGGGAAAACACGTGTCTTGGTTTGCAACGTTGCAAATTTCCTGTCTAATTTTTACATATCGTTATTCGGGGGCGTTACGCAATTTTTTTTTTACGTGTTGAATAATGTTTCAAAAGCGTTACATACAAGGGGGGAGGGGTTCAAAAATGCCGAAAAAGTGCGTAATTAGTGTCGTGATTTAGGGACGGTCCCTCTGGGTAGCGTTTACAAGGATCTAAAATGTTTCGATGTGTCCAACGTGCTCTATACGTGGATTAATTAGAAAAAAAGTCCCTTAGTTTGTTTGAGATCTTACTCTGTCTATAGATCCATTGTAGTCTGGCATTTGTTCGTCAGAAATTTCTATTGGACGTATTTAAGCTAAAAGAAGTTAAGTACAAATTAATTAAATTAAAAGGAACTATGCAGCGTGCAAACCCTATGCAAGTACCTCCTTTTGATTCAAAACACTTTTACATAATTCTTTTCAGCATAAATATGTCCTATTGATCTAAACGGAAATTTCGCTGCGTGCATGGACAAGCATGCCTGATTGCCTGTATAAAAGTCAGTTTTATTGCGAATTTCGGCTTCCGGACTTATTCACTCTACCGTGCTAAGGAGAAACATTCGTATGTTGCCAATTTTTTCCTGAAAAGGTAGGTATGAATTTTACGGGAAAACTATGATTATTTTTCAGTGAAATTTTTACATATTTTGGATGAAATATCGTATAAAATCATCTGAAAATTTGGAAGAGATATATATTTTTAAGTTTTTCAGAAAACTCGTGCGTAACTGAACGAAATTTGGCAACATCTCCAGGTTCATACAACGCGACGCTCCTCCTCAGCACGGCATCACTGTCGGGTCTACTCTGCCCGCCCTAGTAAGAATTCCGCATGAGCCATCGCAAAGCGCCAAATTTCCCATGATGCCAGACAAATCCTCTAAAAAACATGTAGATAATTTTCCTATATTTTTCATAGCGTTTTATTTTCAGGTAGATCTACAAATTTTGGAGTGTCACAAAAAAAGATATCCTAAGCTTCCCTTAATGATAAGTATTCTATCAGGTGGAATTTAGCAACATCCGAATTTTCATTGGACTTCCCTCGCATGACGGTAGCGTCAGTTTTCCCTGTTGTGAGGACGGCACGCACAGCGCGGGAGAGCGCGATCGCGGACGCGAGCGTTTCCGGCGCGAACGCCCGCCCGCGCGTGGCGCAGCGCCGCGTCCAGGACACGCTCGACAGAGCGATCACGAAAAATCGATTCGTTTGCGGGCGACAGGATTCCTTAATATCATATTTAACAGTTTTTACATAATAGCCCTTTCATTACGGAGTGAGCCTTCTCGATTAGTCGGTAACTGTTGGCGCGTGCCGCTGCGCCGCGCCGGAACCTGCTGCACCGCGCCGCGCCGCACAGTGGATCGAATCAATTAGAGAGGTTGGACATGAATTTTTTTACCAAAACTGCAAATTTTACTGTTAATTTCGTCAAATTTTAAATTTTAAGGGGTGTTTCCTGAAGAATATTTAACGAGGAAACCAATGGAACCACTTTTAGAAGCTCAAAGTTTTGTATGAGCAAAGTTACAAGCGTTTGAAGTTTCAAAATTTTGTCCGACCTCTCCTATTGATTCGGTCCAGTGTGCGCCGCTCCTAATGGTGCATTGACGTATTTGTCCATCAAAGCAAGCAGTGCAGGTCAGCCTTGATTCATTCACTTGACGCGGAATGTTGTCATTTTCACGGTCATGTTCCGGCCGTTTTCTGCTCGGAAAATTTGCCGCCGTTCGATGGAAAGGATGTTGAAATGTGTCTATACGTATTGCATGACAGTAATTTTAAAATGAAGGGAGTTGTAAGGGCACAAAGTGTCGATTCTCTTCAATGAAAAGTAATTTCCATGACATTTACTTTTGGTCGCCTAAGGGGAAAATGAAATTTATGCTGAAAAACTCAAATTTGAGATAGCCTCTTCAGAGAGCTTGAAATCACTGAGAACATTCATTTTTCTCCAAACGAAATAACTTAACTGCATGTCAACGTTGCAAATTTCCACCGACGAGCTTTATTTTTACTGGGATATTGTTGGGCGTTCGTAAAGTCCTAATCGAGAATTACTGTGTTTTCCCCGCTATCAAAATCAGCCAACGGAAGAATGTCGATGAGGGCCGTTTTTTGGGCGCATCCTGAACTTTCTCAACTTTACGATCGTTTGCTCATTGATGGTCTATATTTTACGGAAATCATCATAATTGGGTCATTTTCGGTATTTTTTCGGGTCTCACAAGTTATAAGACACGCCTTATCTTAGGTCTGAGTGCCGATTTTGGCAAAAATTGCGATTTTTACAGGTTTATAGACGGGTGACGAAAAATCCGGCCAAAATCGGACTTCTCACCCATGATTACGTCAGCACTAGACCCGAAATAAGACGGGTATTGACTAACTAGTGATGCATTCCGTTTAACACAGATCTTCTACGAGTAAAATATCTTAAAAGTTGAGGAAATTCAGCTTAGATGGGCCCAAGAACGATCCCTTTTTGTCAAAACCGTCCGAGTCAACTTTGCAAACTTTATGAAGTTACATTTCTTAATCAGGAAATTAACGATCAATGTGTCTCAAAGCCTCTTCTGAAAGATGACCTAGGTTCTCTGTTTCTCACATGCACAAGGCAGCATTTGCCATTTTTATCGTGGAGGTTTAATGA